TGTATACTCCTGTCGATTCAAACTGTATATACCCGTCCATTCATATTGTATATAACCGTCGATTCATATTGAATATACCCGTCCATTCATATTGTATATACCCGTCCATTCATATTGTATTTACCCGTCGATTCATATTGAATATACCCGTCCATTCATATTGTATATACCCGTCGATTCATATTGTATATACCCGTCGATTCATATTGAATATACCCGTCCATTCATATTGTATATGCCCGTCCAATTCATATTGTATATACCCGTCCAACGTTATTGTATATACCCGTCCAATGGTATTGTATAAACCCATCGATTCATATTGTATATACCCGTCGATTCATATTGCATATACTCGTCCATTCATATTGTATATACCCGTCGATTCATATTGTATATACCCGTCCATTCATATTGTATATACCCGTCCATTCATATTGTATATACCTGTCCATCGGCATTGTATATATCCGTCCATCAGTATTGTATAAACCCGTAGATTCATATTGTATATACCCGTCTATTTATATTGTATATACCTGTCCATCGGTATTGTATATACCTGTCCATTCATATTGTATATACCCGTCCATCGGTATTGTATAGACCCGTCGATTCATACTGTATATACCCGTCGATTCATATTGTATATTCCCGTTGATTCATATTGTATATGCCCGTCGATTCATATTGAATATACCCGTCCATATTATATTCCTCTCTCTCTCTCTCTCTCTCTCTCTCTCTCTCTCTCTCTCTCTCTCTCTCTCTCTCTCTCTCTCTCTCTCTCTCACACACACACACACACACACACACACACACACACACTACCTGCGTGTGACCTTCATAGCAAGCTGAACTTCCACATATGTATCCCTACGATATCCACGAAAGCTCGTGCTACATCACTATGAAGGTAAAAACATTGTTGAAAGTGCAAGCCCCACTACTTACCCCTACAACAACAGGGGCAGACAGTGCTTCCCCTAGCTTCCTTCACCTCACGTGTCGACTTTCAGCACAGTTCGTTCAGTGAACACGCGTATCTTTTACAGACTACTCTCCTGATCATCAATGCGTGGAAAACACATTCCCCCAGAAGTCTGCGCACACCAAGAAACAGTTACTACATTGATCAGTACTCGACACTCAATAAGATCAAGTCGAGTTCAAATCATCTCTGTTACGTACACCCGTTGATGGCGTCAGAACAACATGTGTCACACCCGTTGGTGGAGTCAGAACACCCAGTGCGTCACACCCATTGGTAGAGTAGAGTCAGAACAACATGTGTCCCACCCGTTGGTGGAGTCAGAACATCATGTGTCCCACCCGTTGGTGGCGTCAGAACATCATGTGTCCCACCCGTTGGTGGAGTCAGAACAACATATATCCCACCCGTTGGTAGAGTCAGAACAACATATGTCCCACCCGTTGGTGGAGTCAGAACATCATGTGTCCCACCCGTTGGTAGAGTCAGAACAACATATGTCCCACCCGTTGGTAGAGTCAGAACAACATATGTCCCACCCGTTGGTAGAGTCAGAACAACATATGTCCCACCCGTTGGTAGAGTCAGAACAACATATGTCCCACCCGTTGGTAGAGTCAGAACAACATATGTCCCACCCGTTGGTAGAGTCAGAACAACATATGTCCCACCCGTTGGTAGAGTCAGAACAACATATGTCCCACCCGTTGGTGGAGTCAGAACATCATGTGTCCCACCCGTTGGTAGAGTCAGAACAACATGTGTCACACCCGTTGGTGGAGTCAGAACAACATGTGTCCCACCCGTTGGTGGAGTCAGAACATCATGTGTCCCACCCGTTGGTGGCGTCAGAACATCATGTGTCCCACCCGTTGGTGGAGTCAGAACAACATATGTCCCACCCGTTGGTAGAGTCAGAACATCATGTGTCCCACCCGTTGGTGGCGTCAGAACATCATGTGTCCCACCCGTTGGTGGAGTCAGAACAACATATGTCCCACCCGTTGGTGGAGTCAGAACAACATGTGTCACACCCGTTGGTGGAGTCAGAACAACATGTGTCACACCCGTTGGTGGAGTCAGAACATCATGTGTCACACCCGTTGGTGGAGTCAGAACATCATGTGTCCCACCCGTTGGTGGAGTCAGAACATCATGTGTCCCACCCGTTGGTGGAGTCAGAACATCATGTGTCACACCCGTTGGTGGAGTCAGAACATCATGTGTCCCACCCGTTGGTGGAGTCAGAACATCATGTGTCCCACCCGTTGGTGGAGTCAGAACATCATGTGTCACACCCGTTGGTGGAGTCAGAACATAATGTGGTGTAGTGGCCCAGTTGTCAAAGGCGCCGCTATTCGCTGTGCAGAGTTGCGTCCCTTGGGCACGCCAGAACCTATGATTGTGGGTTCGAATCCCGTTTCGCCGCGATTATGTTTCTAGGTTTGTCAGCACCATACCTATGCTCGTGGGTTTCACCGAAATGGTAAATGTCTGAGACTTGCATCACTTCGGGCTTTCCTCCCACATTAAGCTGACACACCGTGATATAACTGAAATACTGTTAAAAGCGGCATGTCATCCCAATTACGTGGATCGATGCCCATGATGTAAATCACTGGATTGTCTGGTCCAGATTCAATTATTTGCAGACCGCCATCACATTGCTTAAATACTGCTGAGTGCGGCATTAAATAACGCTTTGTTTCTATCGAACAAGTGATGTATGTGTATATTCTGTTTACAGAAGACTTCAGTGAACAAGCGATGTATACAAATGACTGGAATAGTGCTGAATGCAGCGTTAAACAACAAACAAACAAACATGAGGCCTTGTCAGGACCAATTTCAAACAAAGCCATGCATGCTGCTACACCTTGCACTGAGTTGGAAAGAATTAATTCTAATCAAGGAAGTGTGTAATGCCATAGATTACACCGAAATGATAATCAGATGAGGGAAATACAATCAGGAACCGAAGTTAGCTACAACAACTGGAAGTGTTCATGAAGTATGACAGTGTCTTCTGAGTCGACAGAAACATTATCCGGGGCCGGAAGTAGCATTATCCGCACCGGAAGTACAATTACGTTGTCACAAACTGACCTAAAACTATCAAGATCTAGTATGTATTTCTACTTATTATGTATATCTTAACTAAACGTACATCAGTCACTTAATAAGACCTGTAATATAATAATAAAGTCCATTTCTTCAGCGCCATTTCCGTCTACGTAGTCGCTCATAGCGCCTCACACAGGATCATAGACACATCGAAAGAGATAAGTCTTTAGTTTTGTCTTGAAAGTGTCCAGAGTTGAAGATTGCCTAATTTCCACTGGAAGGGAATTCCAGAGCACAGATGCAGTGTGAGCAAAAGTTCTGTTGCCGAATGCTTTGAGTGAGACCCTAGGGACACTAAACTTGAGTTTATGTGCTGATCTGGGATCTCGTGCTGGCTGGTGTAGGGTAAGAAGTTCACTCAGATAGGAAGGTGCTGTACTATAGTAGCACTGGTATGCAATGCACACGACTTGGTATTCAATCCTACATCTTATTGGAAGCCAGTGTAATGATTTTAATAAAGGAGTTACATGTGCACGCTTATTTCGTCTACATATCAATCTGGCAGCAGCATTATGCACACGTTGCAATTTGCTACATAGATCCTGTTTGATATTAATAAGCAGACTGTTAGCATAGTCCAACCTGGATAGAAATGTTATCTCACGAACTGATGTGCCGCATCGTATGTCAACAGGGGTCTTATCTGATTGATATTTCGAATGTGGAAGTAGCAACAGAATGCACTTATGCCACATCAACGTCAAAGACATTGGTTAACGACCCATGAATAAGGCAGATGCACAGGCATGCTTGACACAACGTCACGTTGCAAACGTCTTTGGTGTCAGCCAAAGCGTATAGACCAAGTATTATTGTAACATATTGGCGTGCATGGACACCTGGGTGAGCCCTTCTTTACCTGGTATTACTGCAATATATGTATACTTTCAAACAAATGTGAGAACATTTTACAGTGAGGTTATTTTTACGAATTGAGATCAGGTGCTTCGTCTAGCTTTGCTTTAAATTATATAATACTCAAAGTTTTCTGAGGATCAAGTTTAGATGATATCAAAAAGTCATATAACAAACACATATTGAAATTTCGGTACACAATGATTGGGTGACCCCTAAAGACATCACATCAACAACAATTGGTACTGATAATTGTGACAACAGAATGCACTTATGCCCCATCAACGTCAAAGACATCGGTTAACGACCCAAGAATAAGGCAGATGCACAGGCATGCTTGACACAACGTCACGTTGCAAACGTCTTTCGTGTCAGCCAAATTGTGATCAGCAGGGCATGTAGGTGGCAGCGTTCCACCACACAGCGGGAAGGCGGTTTCTCCTGATTGAGGCATGACGTCATCACTTCGTGACTGGCACCACACTCAGAAATGACATGCGGAACGCCAGCGGCGTTAACGTTTCTAGTCAGGCAATGCATACTCGTCTCCATGAGCCTGGTCTCAGGGAGGCATGCATTTGCACCCCACTGACGCGACACGTAGGCAGTTGGGCTGAAGATCACGTCAGTTAGATAGACCATTACTGGGCTCCAGTACTTTTTAATGATTAATTGAGATACTGTCCAGACGTCACAGATCTTCGTGCCCGAGTGTGGAGTAGACACGGAGAAAAATGACAGGATTCCAACCTAGCCGAACATGACCACTATGGTGGTGGTTCGATAATGATTTGGGGTGGGATCAGTAGAGCTGGAAGAAGCGATCTCCATATCCTACAGCTGACACGATGACAGGTGTGCGCTACATGGATGATATTCTTGATGTGTACATGAGACCGTATGCTAGTGCAATCGGACCGTACATCCTCATCGTGCCAGGGCCATTGATGCTTAGTTAGATCAGGAGACCATTGTCCGCATTGAGTGGCCAGCCCAGTCATCAGAGCTCAACCCTATCGAACACCTCTCACGACGCCCTGACCTTCCGGCAACTCTCAGCAGCCTATGGAACCATCAAGTCACTTATCAGGAACATGAGACAACGGTGCCAAGCTGTCGTTGCATCACGTCGATCACATGCGCGGAACTGAGAGGGTTTTTTAATTTTTTTGGACAATGAATTTCTTTTCGGGAATTTTGACATTTCAGTTTCGGTCAAATAATCTCAATTTAAAGAGTGATCTTATGGATTACTGGTCACGTGTTGTTTGTTGGCATTGTGTGGCACACAACGACGGACCTTCAAACGTTCATTAAACAACTCGTCAACAGAGGCATACTATTAACTTGAATTAATCCCTAAGTGATCCCTAGCACACTGGCTTGAGGAGTATGATTACGATCAAGCATTTGTAACGAATCAGAGGGGAAGCATGTCTTTGTATTAACCAACTGAATAAACTTCCTGCGGTTCTTGATAAGGAAGTCCTAAAATCTTAGGTGACGAGGCCGTTCTGAGTAAGTTTCCATCCGAATCTAGTATCATGACGTCACGGTGCTGACAGTAGCCTACAACTCGGTGTTCATAGGCGTCAATACTGGAAAACCTGCACATGAAGCTGAAGGCTTCTGTTCGCCCAAGTCGCCCAGTCTTGTCCTTTATACCTTCCTGGTGTTGTCGGAGGTGAGATAGATTAATGTCCGAGCTGTGTAGGAAAAGCACAAGCAAGTCACGAAGCCATTCAATGTGGATTTCGTCACCTTTCCACTTCCTCCTAGTGGAGACACAGGGTACGTCTTGGAGTAGATCACACTGCCACCATCAGGGTTCCAGTGGAGTTGTTTCATGACGTGATCCACAACTATATCATGAACCTCCTTCTTGATATTTATGAGAACCCGGGGAGGGTCCTTCTGTCCAATTTCAAATGCGTTCAGCTTTTGGCGAGACAAGTAGAACATGATCCTTCTCGTCTTGTCCATTGCAAATGCTTCGCATCTCGCCTTGGTGAGACGACGCTGTTTTGTGTTGTCATAGCATGTTGACGTGATATGGACAGGCTCTTGATAGCAGGCAAATATTTCACATGTGTCCGAAACAATAGTTATGTCTTCAGCTGCATTTTTTAATGTAATGGTAGTTTCGTGAAGTAGGGCTTCTTCGGTGGGTTGTAAGCAAACACTGGCTTCCGCCTTTTAATGTCATTGCCAAGCACCAAACTGCGTTTCCGGTCAATTGGGTTCTGCACAAAGTCCTTAATACCAGTACACGTGCACCGATATTTCATGGAAGGTGTGTTGTTGCGATGATGGTGTTTATTGCAGAAGTAGCAGTAGTGGCACTATGTGTAGTATCGGATGTAGCAGTGCTTGTAGTATCGGGTGTAGCAGTGCTTGTAGTATCGGAAGTAGCAGTGCTTGTAGTATCGGATGTGGCAGTGCTTGTAGTGTCGGATGTGGCAGTGCTTGTAGTATCGGAAGTAGCAGTGCTTGTAGTGTCGGATGTGGCAGTGCTTGTAGTGTCGGATGTGGCAGTGCTTGTAGTATCGGATATAGCAGTGCTTGTAGTATCGGATGTGGCAGTGCTTGTAGTGTCGGATGTGGCAGTGCTTGAAGTATCGGATGTGGCAGTGCTTGTAGTATCGGATGTGGCAGAGCTTGTAGTGTCGGATGTGGCAGTGATTGAAGTATCGGATGTAGCAGTGCTTGTAGTATCGGATGTAGCAGTTCTTGTACTGTCGGATATAGCAGTGCTTGTAGTATCGGATGTAGCAGTGCTTGTTGTGTCGGATGTGGCAGTGCTTGAAGTATCGGATGTAGCAGTGCTTGTAGTATCGGATGTAGCAGTTCTTGTAGAATCGGGTGTAGCACTACGTGTAGTGTCGGATATAGCAGCGCTTGTAGTATCGGATGTAGCAGTGCCGGTAGTATCGGATGTGGCAGTGCTTGTATTATCGGAAGTAGCAGTGCTTGTAGTATCGGATGTGGCAGTGCTTGTAGTATCGGATGTAGTAGGGCTTGTAGTATCGGATGTAGCAGTGCTTGTAGTATGGATGTAGCATTGCTTGTCGTATTGGATGTAGCAGTGCTTGTAGTATCGGATGTGGCAGTGCTTGTAGTATCGGATGTGGCAGTGCTTGAAGTATCGGATGTGGCAGTGCTTGTTGTATCGGATGTAGCAGTGCTTGTAGTATCGGACGTGGCATTGCTTGTCGTATTGGATGTAGCAGTGCTTGTAGTGTCGGATGTAGCAGTTCTTGTAGTATCGGATGTAGCAGTTCTTGTAGTATCGGATGTAGCAGTTCTTGTAGTATCGGATGTAGCAGTGCTTGTAGTATCGGATGTAGCAGATCTTGTAGTATCGGAGGTAGTAGTGCTTGTAGTATTGGATGTAGTAGTGCTTGTAGTATCGGATGTAGCAGTGCTTGTAGTATTGCCATGTCCTCTCACACACACAGTGTAAACCATTGTATCCCTCGCAATGGAATTAAGGTCCACGCAATTACAAGTCTTAGTACCAATGAAGTAACACTTGCTGTGCACGACATCTCGTGATGAGGTTAAGCCACTGCCTTGCACTGTGGGTGCTGTGCGCGACATCTCGTGATGAGGTTAAGCCACTGCCTTGCACTGTGGGTGCTGGGCGCGACATCTCGTGATGAGGTTAAGCCACTGCCTTGCACTGTGGGTGCTGGGCGCGACATCTCGTGATGAGGTTAAGCCACTGCCTTGCACTGTGGGTGCTGTGCGCGACATCTCGTGATGAGGTTAAGCCACTGCCTTGCACTGTGGGTGCTGGGCGCGACATCTCGTGATGAGGTTAAGCCACTGCCTTGCACTGTGGGTGCTGTGCGCGACATCTTGTGATGAGGTTAAGCCACGGCCTTGCACTGTGGGTGCTGTGCACGACATCTTGTGATAGGGTTAAGCCACTGCCTTGCACTGTGGGTGTGTCGCTTTTTGAGAAATATTTGTGGGTGGTCGGCCTAATGAGGGTGGAGATAGTTGTGGGTGGTCGGTCTAATGAGGGTGGAGATAGTTGTGGGTGGTAGGCCAAATGAGGGTTGAGGGTAGTTGTGGGTGGTCGGCCTAATGAGGGTGGGGGTAGTTGTGGGTGGTCGCCCTAATGAGGGTTGAGATACTTGTGGGTGGTCGCCCAATTGAGGGTGGAGATAGTTGTGGGTTGTCGGCCTAATGAGGGTGGAGATAGTTGTGGGTGGTCGCCCTAATGAGGGTGGAGATAGTTGTGTGTGGTCGGCCTAATGAGGGTGGGGGTAGTTGTGGGTGGTAGGCCTAATGAGGGTTGAGATAGTTGTGGTTGGTCGCCCTAATGAGGGTTGAGATAGTTGTGGGTGGTCGGCCTAATGAGGGTGGAGATAGTTGTGTGTGGTCGGCCTAATGAGGGTGGAGATAGTTGTGGGTGGTCGCCCTAATGAGGGTGGAGATAGTTGTGTGTGGTCGGCCTAATGAGGGTGGGGGTAGTTGTGGGTGGTAGGCCTAATGAGGGTTGAGATAGTTGTGGTTGGTCGCCCTAATGAGGGTTGAGATAGTTGTGGGTGGTCGGCCTAATGAGGGTGGAGATAGTTGTGTGTGGTCGGCCTTATGAGGGTGGGGGTAGTTGTGGGTGGTAGGCCTAAAGAGGGTTGAGATAGTTGTGGGTGGTCGGCCTAATGAGGGTGGAGATAGTTGTGGGTGGTAGGCCTAATGAGGGTTGAGATAGTTGTGGTTGGTCGCCCTAATGAGGGTGGAGATAGTTGTGGGTGGTCGCCCTAATGAGGGTTGAGATAGTTGTGGGTGGTCGGCCTAATGAGGGTTGAGATAGTTGTGGGTGGTCGGCCTAATGAGGGTGGAGATATTTCTGGGTGGTCGGCCTAATGAGGGTGGAGATAGTTGTGTGTGGTCGGCCTAATGAGGGTGGAGATAGTTGTGTGTGGTCGGCCTAATGAGGGTGGAGATAGTTGTGTGTGGTCGGCCAAATGAGGGTTGAGATAGTTGTGTGTGGTCGGCCTAATGAGGGTGGAGATAGTTGTGGGTGGTCGCCCTAATGAGGGTTGAGATAGTTGTGGGTGGTCGGCCTAATGAGGGTGGAGATAATTGTGTGTGGTCGGGCTAATGAGGGTGTAGATAGTTGTGGGTGGTCGGTCTAATGAGGGTGGAGATGGAGTGGGTTGTCGGCCTAATGAGGGTAGGGGTAGTTGTGGGTGGTCGGTCTAATGAGGGTTGAGATAGTTGTGGTTGGTCGCCCTAATGAGGTTGGAGATAGTTGTGGGTGGTCGGCCTAATGAGGGTGGAGATAGTTGTGTGTGGTCGGCCTAATGAGGGTGGAGATAGTTGTGTGTGGTCGGCCAAATGAGGGTTGAGATAGTTGTGTGTGGTCGGCCTAATGAGGGTGGAGATAGTTGTGGGTGGTCGCCCTAATGAGGGTTGAGATAGTTGTGGGTGGTCGGCCTAATGAGGGTGGAGATAATTGTGTGTGGTCGGGCTAATGAGGGTGTAGATAGTTGTGGGTGGTCGGTCTAATGAGGGTGGAGATGGAGTGGGTTGTCGGCCTAATGAGGGTAGGGGTAGTTGTGGGTGGTCGGTCTAATGAGGGTTGAGATAGTTGTGGTTGGTCGCCCTAATGAGGTTGGAGATAGTTGTGGGTGGTCGGCCTAATGAGGGTTGAGATAGTTGTGGGTGGTCGGCCTAATGAGGTTGGAGATAGTTGTGGTTTGTCGCCCTAATGAGGGTTGAGATAGTTGTGGGTGGTCGCCCTAATGAGGGTTGAGATAGTTGTGGGTTGTCGGCCTAATGAGGGTGGAGATAGTTGTGGGTGGTCGCCCTAATGAGGGTTTGGGGTAGTTGTGGGTGGTCGCCCTAATGAGGGTGGGGGTAGTTGTGGGTGGTCGGCCTAATGAGGGTGGAGATAGTTGTGGGTGGTCGGTCTAATGAGGGTGGAGATAGTTGTGGGTGGTCGCCCTAATGAGGGTTGAGATAGTTGTGGGTGGTCGCCCTAATGAGGTTGGAGATAGTTGTTGGTGGTCGCCCTAATGAGGGTTTGGGGTAGTTGTGGGTGGTCGCCCTAATGAGGGTGGGGGTAGTTGTGTGTGGTCGCCCTAATGAGGGTTTGGGGTAGTTGTGGGTGGTCGCCCTAATGAGGGTTTGGGGTAGTTGTGGGTGGTCGCCCTAATGAGGTTGGAGATAGTTGTGGGTGGTCGCCCTAATGAGGGTTTGGGGTAGTTGTGTGTGGTCGGCCTAATGAGGGTTTGGGGTAGTTGTGGGTGGTCGGCCTAATGAGGGTGGGGGTAGCTGTGGGTGGTCGGCCGAATGAGGGTGGAGATAGTTGTTGGTGGTCGCCCTAATGAGGGTGGGGGTAGCTGTGGGTGGTCGGCCGAATGAGGGTGGAGATAGTTGTGGGCGGTAGACCTAATGAGGGTGGAGATAAGAGGGGTGGCCTATATGAATTGATTGTGTGACGAGATGCCAACTGTATTGTGTGAAGAGGGTTGATGGCTGACTGGTGTCTCCTGATGTCAATGGCTTCGTTTAGTTAAACCGTGACCAGTCAACCTATCTGAAGTCCTTGCTACCATTTGTCCGTGGCTATCAACTATCAGCACTATTCACTGTCAAGTGGTGGCTACCAGTTGTCCGTCGCTATCAACTGTCAGCGCTATTCACTGTCAAGTGGTGGCTTCCAGTTGTCCGTCGCTATCAACTATCAGCGCTATTCACTGTCAAGTGGTGGCTTCCAGTTGTCCGTCGCTATCAACTATCAGCGCTATTCACTGTCAAGTGGTGGCTTCCAGTTGTCCGTCGCTATCAACTGTCAGCGCTATTTACTGTCAAGTGGTGGCTTCCAGTTGTTCATTGCTATCAACTGTCAGCGCTATTTACTGTCAAGTGGTGGCTTCCAGTTGTTCATTGCTATCAACTATCAGCGCTATTTACTGTCAAGTGGTGGCTTCCAGTTGTCCGTCGCTATCAACTATCAGCACTATTCACTGTCAAGTGGTGGCTTCCAGTTGTCCGTCGCTATCAACTATCAGCGCTATTTACTGTCAAGTGGTGGCTTCCATTTGTCCGTCGCTATCAACTATCAGCGCTATTTACTGTCAAGTGGTGGCTTCCAGTTGACCGTCGCTATCTACTATCAGCGCTATTTACTGTCAAGTGGTGGCTTCCATTTGTCCATCGCTATCAACTATCAGCGCTATTTACTGTCAAGTGGTGGCTTCCAGTTGTTCATCGCTATCAACTATCAGCGCTATTTACTGTCAAGTGGTGGTTTCCAGATGTCCGTCGCTATCAACTATCAGCGCTATTCACTGTCAAGTGGTGGCTACCAGTTGTCCGTCGCTATCAACTGTCAGCGCTATTCACTGTCAAGTGGTGGCTTCCATTTGTCCATCGCTATCAACTATCAGCGCTATTTACTGTCAAGTGGTGGCTTCCAGTTTTTCATCGCTATCAACTATCAGCGCTATTTACTGTCAAGTGGTGGTTTCCAGATGTCCGTCGCTATCAACTATCAGCGCTATTTACTGTCAAGTGGTGGCTTCCAGTTGTTCATTGCTATAATCACCTCTCAACGCCAATTATCTGTTGGCTTCCCTTGTTAAGAACGTTGGATACAATTGTTCGTGCGCACCTCAGTTCACGCCGTTGCACGCGAGTTTACCGTGACGAATGACCTCCCTTGACGCGCACTGTCTTCTTCATAATAGGTGGTAGAAGCAACGATATGTCCGTTTATGATTGTGGAAACCTGCAACATATACCTTTGCTATCCTTCCCAAACACGAGCTGATAAGTAATAAAAAATAACTGTTCCAATGCATCTCTGAATTTTCAGATTCAGTGGGAAAACAGTGTGTAGAGTTCCTATACATTATTTTATTAACTTGGCACATAATATTCTCCTCCCTGAATTTCTAAAATATTCTTTCTTTCTGTTTTGTGTACGAGAAGCATAGCTTTTTATGATTAATTAATTGCTATTAATGGATAAACAGAAGGCATTGTAGAACATCAAACCTGCGTATTACGTTATATCTAAACAATACTCAATAACAAGCATAATGTGTGATTGATTATATCTAGATAATGAGTTATCCCCCTTTTCAGGTATCAGGATTGACACCCCTAGCTTTCTTTGGGCATGCAAATACTCAATATTTTGCGTGGAGACCTACAGATTTATTTTTTCCAAATTTATGTTGCTTGGTGGATATTGTACGTTATGCGTGAAAACTGTGACTCTGTAGTGGGTTTTTATCTTCTAAATAACTCTGTACATGAGTACATGCTCCTTTGATACCCGATCCGTGAAGATCCGGGCAAGAATAGGTCTTCGGCAATCCACGCTTGGCCTACGAAAAAGGCGACTATGCTTGTCGTAAGAGGCGACTAACAGGATCGGGTGGTCAGCCTCGCTGACTTGGTTTAAACATATTTTTATTCATTGAAATGAGTTGGGATTGGTGAACAAGCTTTACAGCTGATGTTAACACCGCTCCTATACAACATATATTACATATTGAAATGAAGGATGTGACGTCATCGATATAGACATTATTTAAATAATATGTCTGTACATATTACATCAAATACAAAAACATAAATAGAAAGTTACAGCTTGTGTGTGTCTAACAAGTCGTTTGTAACAAAAGTAATAGTCAATCATGAGGTTATTGTCCGGTTTATTTAATTATTAATTTGTGAGGAGCTGAAACGTTTTGTCTTGATGATGAACTCGTGGACGGATTCAACTAATTTCTGGTTTTCAGAGTGAGCAAGTTCATTGTTTCTGTTCATAATAGTATCCAGGTTATAACCGGTAGTGTAAAAGTGCATATTAAGTCTTATCTGAGTAAAGTTAAAGCAAGTAAAAAAATAATGTAGGGCGTTTTCACTCTGATATCCACAGGAGCAACACGGACTGTCAATTAAATGTCTGTTATAATACTTATCGGCGTTTAGGTCGCTACAACCGAGGTTGATGCATGTCATCGATCCCAATTGCGTGGATCGATGTTCATGACGTCAATCACTGGATTGTCTGGTCCAGACTCGATTATTTACAGACCGCCGTCATATTGCTGGAATATTGCTTAGTGCGGCGTAAAACAACAAGCCAACCATGCAGCCTTTGATGCCCGAGCCACATGAAATATGTTGCTATTGTCCCTCGATTGTTTCTATTTTTGGTTCTTATTTCACCATACGTGTATGTAGTTCACAAACTTAAATAGTAATAAATACTACAAAGTAAGTTTAATTACACTTTTAGGTTAATGGGTTTCAAGGAGTCAGCTTAAGCAAATTTTTATAGTGATGGTAAATCATGACATTTGAGGCCTACCCCACCTACAACAAAATATAGCATGATAAGGGTTTTATTATTATTATTTTATTCGGTACAAGTTTACTATACATTCTCTTCATGTTACATCTCAGAGCGTTGTAGTGGGCTTCACTTATTGTGTCCAACTTTGTTATCTTATTAATTTGTTGTTCTTACAGGTACATATATATGTTCCCTACCTCATAGCATTTATTCACCTGATGAAGGAGTAAGCATATACTCCCAAACGCTGTGTTCCTCATAAAAAAGAAGTTGACATCCATAAATTCTTATGTATCTATAATCACTTCTGAACGCCATTCAAAGACCTAGTTTTGTTTGTGTGTTTCTTTTTTTTCTTGTTTAACACTGCACTCAGAAATATTCCAACTATATGACGGCGGTCTGTAAATGGTCGACTCTGGATCAGACAATCCAGTAATTTACATCATGTGCATCGATATACGCAATTGGGATACGATGGCATACATCAACCAAGTCACCGAGCCTGACCACCTGATCCCGTTAGTCGCATCTTACGACAGGCATGGGTTGCTGAAGACCAAAGACCTAGTAATTTAATTGCCCAGTAAAATTTAATTTAACATTTTTCCTTGTGAAAGTTAACTTGAATAAGAAATGCATAATCTTTTTTGCCACCCCCTGTGAAAAAAAGTTAACTACGGCCTTGAAATAGGAACAGTGTTGCAAATACAAAGCACATACTCAAGCTGATAAACAAGGGAGGTAATTCATGTTAGCTTCACTCCCAAATAGGCGTTTATAAAATTACTGTTATCGTGGTTTTATTTTTTCCTGTATCAGACCTATACTTGTGGTATCAGATTAGGACACAAATTCACTTATCATTTAATGATTTGTTTTGTTGGCAAGGTCGGTCATTTAGTGCGAGCCTGCAATGTTTGAAAATGGCGGTGTATGAGGTATTCACCCACGCAGAGCTGCGCCGATACAGGGCGTCCGTGTGCTCTAAGGCCACACTCTTCATGTTCGCTGTGTTGGTGCTGACCTTCATACCACCTCTGTTTGTTGTGTACAGAAGCTATGGTAAGATTTCCTTGGACATTAGAAATGATTAGTGTTCAAATGTTCCCAACACGACTGGCTTTGACATTCAAGTCGGTGCACGCAGAGCGGATAGCCACATCCGATACGGTTCAAGGAAGGAGGGACTTACTACACTTAGTAAATACCACGTGGATGCGGAACAATTATTACTGTTAAGCAGATATCGTGAGAGTTTTGCCGAGTAAACGATGACAGGTCCTAATCATGCTGAGACTGCTGGCTATGTGGAGTAAATCTAGGGGCCAAATACAATCTCTGGAGTCTCAGTTGAGATTCTAATTGGCATGATTAGGGCTGGGACGAGTCCAAATTTACTACCCGGGTACCCGACCCTACCCCTACAAGACATGGGAACAAAATATCTGATTTGGAATTCCTTTACGGTGGCCCTGGCAAAAACTGTTTAGATACATGTGTAGCAGCCATAAAAGTTCGAGTCCAGTGATAGAATTCGAACCACAGACCTTCTGATCCGAGGTCGGACGCCTTGTCCACATGACCAAAGAGGTTAACCCCGTTAGCAAGCTGACAAGGTAAGGATGTCATCTGTGGGATAACTCCATGCGCTACTACACATGTATCAAACGATCAGATCATGCATACACTGAAGTTGACTGGAGCCTATCTTTACTCAAACATATACAAGTCAAAAGGAATGTGTGCATCGTCAGAAAGAAATGTTGGCATTATGACTTGTAGTGTAACCACTGAGTTTTAATGAGTTACACCTTCCCACCTAACCTGATTACCCGAGTTTCCCGTCCCAGCCCTAGTTCTAATGTACATTTCATACTTTCCTCATATCTTCGCAAATATTATGCTTATGTATTAATATGTGGTCAGACCGTGCACAACCTCAAGAAGTCACTCGTTACCATATATATCGTAAGGGTTACAAACATCAGTTTTCATGCACCGCCCAATGTGATGTCACAAACTTCAATTCAGAGAAACTGTCAGGCAGTCTCTGCACTATTGCCATTACCATGACAATCTAAACATGCTGAAGACAAAGTACAAACGTTTTAGTGGTTCTTGAGTTCACCATTGTTATTTCTACCTTTTCACGATTTCAAAAGAGTTTACCGTATTCGACGTAATAAGCGCCATGCTCTAATAAGCACCCACGGCGATATTTGCTAATATATTGGCTAGTGAACAGTCCCAATTAGGACCCCTTCCGATTGATCAATGTACACAAGACTTATTTATTCGCGTATAATACACACTCAGATTTTAGTGTTCACACTGTTACTGCTGGTAATTTGCTTGTTATAATTGAGAAAACAATATGTCACAATCATGAAACTAGTTGGTTATTGTAAATGGATTTTTGAAAGAAAGAATATCAGTTGGACATTTTGACATGTATCATTTGTTACAGAATATAGCATATTCTTCCTGACTGTAGAAATGTTCATTTTTCATGATTCATTGGATCCCTCCAAATAAACAGAAAAGATGAATTATTTATTAAATGAAATGTGCATATCTTTCACACTTGTGCTACCTCCAGGTCTGAGGAGAGTTAGTGTGTGACTGTGAGTACTGATGAAGTAAGTCACAGGCTGCCATTTGATGTATCTACTTCAGTGATGTTTCAGCATCCCGCAATTTGTTCATCATTGATAGGAATTGGGGCAATACCTATCCTTCAAAAATAATTTGAAATGAAGTGTTTGAATTGATTTGATGATGTTTGTCATTTGAGTTCCATGTCTTATATATACTCAATAACCTTGAACTCATGGATCAGATAAAGTAAATAGTTGTGTTATGAGAAAACAGCATCACGCCTCCAGCGAACAATCACTGGCCGTGTGTGAGATATGAGATGATGACATAGTTAGTGCATCAGTTATTCAGTACACTTTGTTCTTTGACATCACACAATATAGATAACCACAGATTCAGAGGCAGTTTGTTGAAGATTTTCTCTCTTATATTTTGGGTTAGTCTATTTTGTGTATTACCAGGGTCCTTTCAGTAATGTCGACTGCCTGTTTTAGTGTTTATTATGGAAGCGATTATTATCTTTCATAAATCTGAACAACCGGTATCCATAGTAACAGTATCATTTTAGCGAGATTGATCCTAATTAATTGATTTATGAGTTTGGAAACATTGTTTATCTGAATACATAATTTGTAAAGTTATGATTCAAACATATTCTGATTGTTTATAGTTATGGAGGAATAGTGACAGTGGCTTGTAGAAATAGAATTGCATTGATATTTTTAGAAATCTCATTAACCTGATCAAAGTCCTATGTATTCTGTCATAAAGGTGATTTTCTCCTGTATACACCATTTATATACTGGTAAGCTATTTATGCATATGCACACTATTTTGCAGGGTTCTTTATTATATGTCTATTATGCGATAATAATTTGTTTGTCACTTTGTCACTATTTAAATGTTATGTCACTGAATAAACATGATAAAGGTACACACCCTGGTCTCTAGGTACACACCCTGGTCTCTAGGTACACACCCTGGTTTCTAGGTACACACCCTGGTCTCTAGGTACACATCCTGGTCTCTAGGTACACACCCTGGTTTCTAGGTACACACCCTGGTTTCTAGGTACACACCCTGGTCTCTAGGTACACACCCTTGTTTCTAGGTACACACCCTGGTCTCTAGGTACACACCCTGGTTTCTAGGTACACACCCTGGTTTCTAGGTACACACCCTGGTCTCTAGGTACACACCCTGGTCTCTAGGTACACACCCTGGTTTCTAGGTACACACCCTGGTCTCTAGGTACACACCCTGGTTTCTAGGTACACACCCTGGTCTCTAGGTACACACCCTGGTTTCTAGGTGCACACCCTGGTCTCTAAGTGCACACCCTGGTTTCTAGGTACACACCCTGGTCTCTAGGTACACACCCTGGTCTCTAGGTACACACCCTGGTCTCTAGGTACACACCCTGGTTTCTAGGTACACACCCTGGTGGTATTTTAGCAAGTGGAGAAGATAATGTGTATTTCCCCAAGTTTCTAAATGTGGTGACATTCCATCGAAGACATTGTACTGATGTCAGTGAGTCAAGGTTCAGTGAGGAGACATCATAGTCTATAGAACCGGAGTTTCAGATGGCAGTTGGTCAGCGGTCATGGACAGATAAAATTTCATTTTGACAGATAGTTTGCTTAAATATAAACAGTCAGACTTTTGACCAATGGTGGTACAGATGTGATGGGATGGTACAGATGTGATGGGATTGTACAGATGTGATGGGATGGTACAGGTGTGATGGGATGGTACACATGTGATGGGATGGTACACATGTGATTGGATGGTACAGATGTGATGGGATGGTACAGGTGTGATGGAATGGTACAGGTGTGATGGGATGGTTCAGGTGTGATGGGATTGTACACATGTGATGGGATGGTACAGGTGTGATGGGATGGTACAGATGTGATGGGATGGTACAGATGTGATGGGATGGTACAGGTGTGATGGGATGGTACACATGTGATGGGATGGTACACGTGTGATGGGATGGTACAGGTGTGATGGGATGGTACATGTGTGATGGGATGGTACAGATGGGATGGGATGGTACAGATGTGATGGGATGGTACAGGTGTGATGGGATGGTACAGGTGTGATGGGATGGTACAGGTGTGATGGGATGGTACAGGTGTGATGGGATGGTACAGATGTGATGGGATGGTACAGGTGTGATGGGATGGTACACATGTGATGGGATGGTACACATGTGATGGGATGGTACAGGTGTGATGGGATGGTACAGGTGTGATGGGATGGTACAGATGTGATGGGATGGTACAGATGTGATGGGATGGTACAGGTGTGATGGGATGCTACACATGTGATGGGATGGTACAGGTGTGATGGGATGGTACAGGTGTGATGGGATGGTACAGGTGTGATGGGATGCTACACATGTGATGGGATGGTACAGGTGTGATGCCTGTAGTGCCGGCAGCTGTTAACAGACTGCACAGCAGATGCACTGGCTGCACCACATACTTTACTGGAAAATTGAGACAAAAGGACATATTGCTTAATATTAAACTATGCAGATGTCTAGTAACATTCTGTTTTGTCTGTAAGGTCAGCTAATGATAGTACATATAATAATGTGAAAATCAATTGAAAATTTGGGTCATGACATGTCGCCACATTTGTTACGATTCTTAGACTGTCATTGACTGCTTCCTGATTGTGTTCAAATACAACATGTGCAACAGGATAGATGCAGTTTGTGTGATTTAATTACACTCCTTAAAGTTTATACCAGTAACACTTTGTAACACTTCTGGTAATGTAAACGCCTTGTTTTGTTTTGTGCTCCATTTGTTCACATTCTTCTACAGGCTTCTGGCAGAAAGAGGCGTATTATCGGGAGTTTCCAGCCGTTACATTCAAACGAGACTTGCTGCTGGTTGTTGAGCTTCAGGATTCAGGGGAATATGTAACCTACAGCACCTACCAGAAATACAACCTCCTGCAGCAAGAGCGTCTTCGGGTACCCGTCATTAAGGTGAGACAATAGACACCCCAGGTACCCGTCATTAAGGTGAGACAATAGACACCCCAGGTACCCATCATTAAGGTGAGACAATAGACACCCCAGGTACCCGTCATTAAGGTGAGACAATAGACACCCCAGGTACCCGTCAATACGGTGAGACAATAGACACCCCAGGTACCCGTCATTACGGTGAGACAATAGACACCCCAGGTGTCCGTCATTAAGGTGAGACAATAGACACCCCAGGTACCCGTCATTAAGGTGAGACAATAGACACCCCAGGTATCCGTCATTAAGGTGAGACAATAGACACCCCAGGTACCCGTCATTAAGGTGAGACAATAGACACCCCAGGTACCCGTCATTAAGGTGAGACAATTGACACCCCAGGTACCCATCATTAAGGTGAGACAATAGACACCCCAGGTACCCATCATTAAGGTGAGATAATAGACACCCCAGGTACCCGTCATTAAGGTGAGACAATAGACACCCCAGGTACCCGTCATTAAGGTGAGACAATAGACACCCGAGGTACCTGTCATTAAGGTGAGACAATAGACACCCCAGGTACCCATCATTAAGGTGAGACAATAGACACCCCAGGTACCCGTCATTAAGGTGAGACAATAGACACCCCAGGTACCCATCATTAAGGTGAGACAATAGACACCCCAGGTACCCGTCATTAAGGTGAGACAATAGACACCCCAGGTACCCATCATTAAGGTGAGACAATAGACACCCCAGGTACCCGTCATTAAGGTGAGATAATAGACACCCCAGGTACCCGTCATTAAGGTGAGACAATAAAGGTCAAGGTACCTGTTATTTAGGTGTGAAAACCAGTTATAAGATTTCTCTTTAGGAATATACAAATGAGCCACATTATTTATCAAAGAAATTTGGAAATGTTTTATCATTACTTGCTTATGAAGTAACTAATGTGTTTCTCTGGACCTGATCAGACACGAGAAGAGGACACCAATGGCGACGGTCGGGCGGACAGAATGGTTCTGAACATCGAGATGCCGCTGAACGATGTGGAGAATGTAGTTGGGGTGAAACTGCTGCTGTTCTACTACTACAGGCTACAGGTAGTTGTATTATGTATGCTCCAGGTAGTTGTGTTATGTACTACAGCTTGTTGTGTTGTTCACTACAGACTACAGGTTACTGAGTTAGTTTTGTTATACACTACATGTGCTTGTGTTAAACACTACAGACTACATGTACTTGTGTTATTCACTACAGACTACATGTGCCTGTGTTAAACACTACAGACTACATGTACTTGTGTTAAACACTACAGGCTACATGTACTTGTGTTATACACTACATACTACATGTACTTGTGTTAAACACTACAGACTACATGTGCTTGTGTTAAACACTACAGACTACATGTGCTTCTGTTAAACACTACAGACTACATGTACTTGTGTTAAACACTACAGACTACATGTGCTTCTGTTATACACTACAGACTACATGTGCTTGTGTTAAACACTACAGGCTACATGTACTTGTGTTATACACTACAGACTACATGTGCTTGTGTTAAACACTACAGACTACATGTGCTTGTGTTATACACTACAGACTACATGTGCTTGTGTTATACACTACAGACTACATGTGCTTGTGTCATACACTACGAACTACATGTGCTTGTGTCATACACTACAGACTACATGTGCTTGTGTTAAACACTACAGACTACATGTGCTTGTGTCATACACTACAGACTACATGTACTTGTGTTAAACACTACAGACTACATGTGCTTGTGTTAAACACTACAGACTACATGTGCTTGTGTTAAACACTACAGACTACATGTACTTGTGTTAAACACTACAGACTACATGTGCTTGTGTTATACACTACAGACTACATGTGCTTGTGTTAAACACTACAGGCTACATGTACTTGTGTTATACACTACAGACTTCATGTGCTTGTGTTAAACACTACAGACTACATGTGCTTGTGTTATACACTACAGACTACATGTGCTTGTGTTATACACTACAGACTACATGTGCTTGTGTCATACACTACAAACTACATGTGCTTGTGTCATACACTACAGACTACATGTGCTTGTGTTAAACACTACAGACTACATGTGCTTGTGTCATACACTACAGACTACATGTGCTTGTGTTATACACTACAGACTACATGTGCTTGTGTTATACACTACAGACTACATGTGCTTGTGTTAAACACTACAGACTACATGTACTTGTGTTATACACTACAGACTACATGTGCTTGTGTTATACACTACAGACTACATGTGCTTGTGTTAAACACTATAGACTACATGTGCTTGTGTTAAACACTACAGACTACATGTACTTGTGTTATACACTACAGACTACATGTGCTTGTGTTAAACACTACAGACTACATGTGCTTGTGTTATACACTACAGACTACATGTGCTTGTGTTATACACTACAGACTACATGTGCTTGTGTTATACACTACAGACTACATGTACTTGTTAAACACTACAGACTACATGTACTTGTGTGATACTCTACGGACTACAGATAGTTGTGAAATGTATGCTACAGGCTACAGGTAGTTGTGTTAAACACTACAGACTACAGCTAGTTGTGTTATGTATGCTACAGACCCTATGTTCTTGTGATAAACACTACAGACTACAGCAAGTTGTGTTATGAATGCTACAGGTAGTTTTGTTAAACACTACAGACCACAGCTAGTTGTGTTAGGAATGCTACTGGCTACAGGTGGCTGTGTTATACACTACAGGCTACAGATACTTGTGTTAAACACGACAGACTACAGCTAGTTGTGTTATGTATGCTACAGGTACTTGTGTTAAACAATACAGACCACAGATAGTTGGATTGTCTGGTCCAGACTCCATTATTACATTATTTGCCTTCATATAGCTGGAAGATTGCTGAGTGTGGCGTTAAACAACAAACAAACCACTTGATGTGATAATCTGGTACAGATATGATGGGATGGAACAGATGTGATGAGATGGTACAGATGTGATGGGGTGGTGGGTGGTACAGATGTGATAGGATGGTACAGATGTGATGAGATGGTACAGATGTGATGGGGTGGTACAGTTGGGATGATACAGATGTGATGGGGTGGTACAGATGTGATGGGATGGTACAGATGTGAGGGGGTGGTACAGATGTGAGGGGGTGGTACAGATGTGATGGGGTGGTACATATGTGATGGGGTGGTACAGATGCGATGAAGAAGTACATATGTGATGGGGTGGTACAGATGTGATGGGGTGGTACAGATGTGATGGGGTGATACAGATGTGATGGGGTGGTACAGATGCAATGAAGTAGTACAGATGTGATGGGGTGGTACAGATGTGATGGGGTGATACAGATGTGATGGGGTGGTACAGATGCGATGAAGTAGTACAGATGTGATGGGATGGTACAGATGTAATGGGGTGATACAGATGTGATGGGGTGGTACAGATGTGATGGGGTGATACAGATGTGATGGGGTGGTACAGATGCAATGAAGTAGTACAGATGTGATGGGGTGGTACAGATGCAATGAAGTAGTACATATGTGATGGGGTGGTACAGATGTGATGGGGTGGTACAGATGTGATGGGGTGGTACAGATGTGATGGGGTGGTACAGATGCGATGAAGTAGTACAGATTTGATGGGGTGGTACAGATGTGATGGGGTGGTACAGATGTGATGGGGTGGTACACATGCGATGGGATGGTACAGATGTGATGGGGTGGTACAGATGTGATGGGATGATACAGATGTGATGGGGTGGTACAGATGTGATGAAATAGTACAGATGTGAGCGGGTGGTACATATGCGATGGGGTGATACAGATGCGATAGGGTGGTACAGATGCGATGGGGTGATACAGATGTGATGGGGCTGTACAGGTGTGAGGGGGCAGTACAGATGTGAGCGGGTGGTACAGATGTGATGGGGTTGCTGTGATGGGGTGGTACAGATGTGATAGGTTGATACAGATGTGATGGGGTGGTAAAGATGTGATGAGGTGGTACAGATGTGATGGGGTGGTACAGATGTGAGGGGGTGATACAGGTGTGATGGGGTGGTAAAGATGTGATGGGATGGTACAGATGTGATGGGGTGGTACAGATGTGATGGGGCAGTACAGATGTGATGGGGTGGTACAGATGTGATGGGGTGGTACAGATGTGATGGGATGGTACAGATGTGATGGGGCAGTACAGATGTGATGGGGTGGTACAGATGTAATGGGGCGGTACAGATGTGATTGGGTGGTGCAGATGTGATGGGGCTGTACAGATGTGATGGTGTAGTACAGATGTGATGGGGTGGTACAGATGTGATGGGGTGGTACAGATGTGATGGGGCGGTACAGATGTGAGGGGTCGGTACAGATGTGAGGGGGTGGTACAGATGTGATGGGGTGGTACAGATGTGATGGGTTGGTACAGGTGAGGGGGCAGTACAGTTGTGAGGGGGTGGTACAGATGTGATGGGGTGGTACAGATGTGATGGGTTGGTAGTGGTACAGGTGAGATGAAGCAGTACAGGTGTGATGGGGTGATACAGATGTGATGGGGCGGTACAGATGTGAGGGGGTGGTACAGATGTGATGGGGGTTTTGACTGATGATGTGATGGGATATTGTACAGGTGATATAACACAGGTTATTGCTGTCTTTGATCAAAGGTTCATTTCTAACTTCAGAAGTTTTCCTCATTCTACATGGAGTCCCTGGGTTACATCGAGCACTTCTCCCCTAATCCTGGCGCTGAGCTGGAAGTGTTCGGGACTCTCCGATTCCGACAGAAACAGCCGCTGAATCATCGTGGAATTGATACAAGATATAATGTGAGTGATACAAGATACAATGTGAGTGATACAAGATACAATGTGAGTGATACAAGATACAATGTGAGTGATACGAGATATAATGTGAGTGACACGAGATACAATGTGAGTGATACGAGATATAATGTGAGTGACACGAGATACAATGTGAGTGATACGAGATATAATGTGAGTGATACAAGATACAATGTGAGTGATACAAGATACAATATGAGTGATACAAGATACAATGTGAGTGATACAAGATACAATGTGAGTGATACAAGATACAATGTGAGTGATACGAGATACAATGTGAGTGATACAAGATACAATGTGAGTGATACAAGATACAATGTGAGTGATACAAGATATATTGTGAGTGATACAAGATATAATGTGAGTGATACAAGATATAATGTGAGTGTAAGCTTGTCCCGATGTATTAGTCAATGTTTGGTTACACCTGTTATTTATTGATGCATAGACCAGTCTGACCAACTTGTAGCAACTGATAGAGTACAAATATTGTTTTACAGCAATTAGTATTGAATGTAGCTAGATGTAGCTCAGGGAGCGGGATGAAGCTCTAAGAGTGTGATTGTGTTAGTAGGCTAGATGTAGCTCTAAGAGTGTGATTGTGTTAGTAGGCTAGATGTAGCTCTAAGAATGTGATTGTACCAGTAGGCTAGATGTAGCTCTAAGAGTGTGATTGTGCCAGCTGGCTAGATGTAGCTCTAAGAGTGTGTTTGTGCCTGTGGGCTAGATGTAGCTCGAGGAGCGTGATTGTGCCAGCTGGCTAGATGTAGCTCGAGGAGCGTGATTGTGCCAGCTGGCTAGATGTAGCTGTATGAGTGTGATTGTGCCAGCTGGCTAGATGTAGCTCGAGGAGCATGATTGTGCCAGCTGGCTAGATGTAGCTATATGAGTGTGATTGTGCCAGCTGGCTAGATGTAGCTCGAGGAGTGTGATTGTGCCAGCTGGCTAGATGTAGCTCTAAGAGTGTGATTGTGCCACCTGGCTAGATGTAGCTGTATGAGTGTGTTTGTGCCTGTGGCCTAGATGTAGCTTGAGGAGTGTGATTGTGCCTGCGGGCTAGATGTAGCTTTAGGAGTGTGATTGTGCCTGTGGGCTAGATGTAGCTTGAGGAGTGTAATTGTGCCAGCTGGCTAGATGTAGCTTGAGGAGTGTGATTGTGCCAGCTGGCTAGATGTAGCTTGAGGAGTGTGATTGTGCCAGCTGGCTAGATGTAGCTGTATGAGTGTGATTGTGCCAGTTGGCTAGATGTAGCTGTATGAGTGTGATTGTGCCAGCTGGCTAGATGTAGCTTGAGGAGTGTGATTGTGCCAGCTGGCTAGATGTAGCTTGAGGTGTGTGATTGTGCCAGCTGGCTAGATGTAGCTGTATGAGTGTGATTGTGCCAGCTGGCTAGATGTAGCTGTATGAGTGTGATTGTGCCAGCTGGCTAGATGTAGCGGTATGAGTGTGATTGTGCCAGCTGGCTAGATGTAGCTGTATGAGTGTGATTGTGCCAGCTGGCTAGATGTAGCTGTATGAGTGTGATTGTGCCAGCTGGCTAGATGTAGCTTGAGGAGTGTGATTGTGCCAGCTGGCTAGATGTAGCTTGAGGAGTGTGATTGTGCCAGCTGGCTAGATGTAGCTGTATGAGTGTGATTGTGCCAGCTGGCTAGATGTAGCTGTATGAGTGTGTTTGTGCCAGCTGGCTAGATGTAGCTCTATGAGTGTGATTGTGCCACTGGCTAGATGTAGCTGTATGAGTGTGATTGTGCCAGCTGGCTAGATGTAGCTGTATGAGTGTGATTGTGCCAGCTGGCTAGATGTAGCGGTATGAGTGTGATTGTGCCAGCTGGCTAGATGTAGCTGTATGAGTGTGATTGTGCCAGCTGGCTAGATGTAGCGGTATGAGTGTGATTGTGCCAGCTGGCTAGATGTAGCTGTATGAGTGTGATTGTGCCAGCTGGCTAGATGTAGCTGTATGAGTGTGATTGTGCCAGCTGGCTAGATGTAGCTGTATGAGTGTGATTGTGCCAGCTGGCTAGATGTAGCTGTATGAGTGTGATTGTGCCAGCTGGCTAGATGTAGCTGTATGAGTGTGTTTGTGCCAGCTGGCTAGATGTAGCTGTATGAGTGTGTTTGTGCCAGCTGGCTAGATGTAGCTCTAAGAGTGTGATTGTGCCAGCTGGCTAGATGTAGCGGTATGAGTGTGATTGTGCCAGCTGGCTAGATGTAGCTGTATGAGTGTGTTTGTGCCAGCTGGCTAGATGTAGCTGTATGAGTGTGTTTGTGCCAGCTGGCTAGATGTAGCTGTATGAGTGTGTTTGTGCCAGCTGGCTAGATGTAGCTGTATGAGTGTGTTTGTGCCAGCTGGCTAGATGTAGCTGTATGAGTGTGATTGTGCCAGCTGGCTTGATGTAGCTGTATGAGTGTGATTGTGCCAGCTGGCTAGATGTAGCTGTATGAGTGTGTTTGTGCCAGCTGGCTAGATGTAGCTGTATGAGTGTGTTTGTGCCAGCTTGCTAGATGTAGCTGTATGAGTGTGATTGTGCCAGCTGGCTAGATGTAGCTGTATGAGTGTGTTTGTGCCAGCTGGCTAGATGTAGCTGTATGAGTGTGTTTGTGCCAGCTGGCTAGATGTAGCTGTATGAGTGTGATTGTGCCAGCTGGCTAGATGTAGCTGTATGAGTGTGATTGTGCCAGCTGGCTAGATGTAGCTCGAGGAGCATGATTGTGCCAGCTGGCTAGATGTAGCTGTATGAGTGTGTTTGTGCCAGCTGGCTAGATGTAGCTGTATGAGTGTGTTTGTGCCAGCTGGCTAGATGTAGCTGTATGAGTGTGATTGTGCCAGCTGGCTAGATGTAGCTGTATGAGTGTGATTGTGCCAGCTGGCTAGATGTAGCTCGAGGAGCATGATTGTGCCAGCTGGCTAGATGTAGCTGTATGAGTGTGATTGTGCCAGCTGGCTAGATGTAGCTGTATGAGTGTGTTTGTGCCAGCTGGCTAGATGTAGCTGTATGAGTGTGTTTGTGCCAGCTGGCTAGATGTAGCTGTATGAGTGTGATTGTGCCAGCTGTCTAGATGTAGCTGTATGAGTGTGATTGTGCCAGCTGGCTAGATGTAGCTGTATGAGTGTGATTGTGCCAGCTGGCTAGATGTAGCTGTATGAGTGTGATTGTGCCAGCTGGCTAGATGTAGCTGTATGAGTGTGATTGTGCCAGCTGGCTAGATGTAGCTGTATGAGTGTGTTTGTGCCAGCTGGCTAGATGTAGCTGTATGAGTGTGATTGTGCCAGCTGGCTAGATGTAGCTGTATGAGTGTGTTTGTGCCAGCTGGCTAGATGTAGCTGTATGAGTGTGTTTGTGCCAGCTGGCTAGATGTAGCTGTATGAGTGTGATTGTGCCAGCTGGCTAGATGTAGCTGTATGAGTGTGATTGTGCCAGCTGGCTAGATGTAGCTGTATGAGTGTGTTTGTGCCAGCTGGCTAGATGTAGCTGTATGAGTGTGATTGTGCCAGCTGGCTAGATGTAGCTGTATGAGTGTGTTTGTGCCAGCTGGCTAGATGTAGCTGTATGAGTGTGATTGTGCCAGCTGGCTAGATGTAGCTGTATGAGTGTGTTTGTGCCACTGGGGCAGGAGATGTAGTAACAAGCTATCTTCCACTGCAGGGCTCCCTGATAAACCAGACCAGCACATTTGCTGAAACCTACGAACTCTCCACGATCTTCAGAACATATTCTCAGAGAAATGGTTTGTACTGACTCTACAGGATTCACCTCAATAGGAAATGATGTGTTACATTTGAAGTATTTATAAACAGAATATCTGTTACAGCAATTGTACACTGTTAAAGCAACACATGTGTTGCTGTTTCTTTCGCTTTCTTTCCCCTTGTTGAGATACGTACTCAACCAATACAGAGCAGTTGGTATTTCTGTGTTCCACGTTTCTGTTCAGCGACCACCATGCTGGAGGACCAGTACAAGATCTGGAAGAGTGGGCGTGGCACAGGCAAGCCGTTCCTCATCTCAGCAACCATCGACTACCCAGAGGATGTGTATCTGTATCCTTTCCCTCATCCTCAGACTTATCGACATTCACTTTCAACAGTATCACGACCCGGGTTAGAATAGGTCTTCAGCAACCCATTCTTCTCATAATGGGATAGAGCGGTCAGACTCGCTCCCTTTTTGTAAATGCATGTCATCGTATCCCAGTTGTGTGGATCAATGCTCATGATATCAATCACTGGATTGTCTGGTCCAGACTCAATTATTTGCAGACCGCCATCATCCAGCTGGAAGATTGCTGAGTACGGCATGATACGTGCCATAACATCAGTAGCTTGTTGATGCGGGGACAGAGGTGGGGTGACATTGAGTTGCAGCACCAGGCAGTATATGTTGAATGTACACTGTGTAGTGCGGGTGGGAGTTGATCTTTATATCCATCATAGGCTGTGATACTCACCAAGGTATAACTTCAGTAATAAATTCCCTGTAGCAAATCCTTTCCCAGTTCACTATCATGAAGTTTTCCAAAGACACCAAGATCATGTAATACTTCAGTGAGCAACACCAGCCACAGGTGTGAATAGTCCACACAATGTAAACTCCTCTAGTAACTGTAACTATCTGTATATATACCCTAGTATCCACTGACTATGTAGCCACAAGGCTAGTGTGATGTACTGGGCTAGTGTGGTGTACAAGGCTAGTGTGGTGTACAAGGCTAGTGTGGTGTACAAGGCTAGTGCAGTGTACAAGGCTAGTGCAGTGTACAAGGCTAGTGCAGTGTACAAGGCTAGTGCAGTGTACAAGGCTAGTGTGGTGTACAAGGCTAGTGTGGTGTACAAGGCTAATGTGGTGTACAAGGCTAGTGTGATGTACAAGGCTAGTGCAGTGTACAAGGCTAGTGTGGTGAACAAGGCTAGTGTGGTGTACAAGGCTAGTGTGATGTACAAGGCAAGTGCAGTGTACAAGGCTAGTGTGGTGTACAAGGCTAGTGTGGTGTATAAGGCTTGTGTGATGTACAAGGCTAATGTGGTGTACAAGGCTAGTGTGATGTACAAGGCTAGTGCAGTGTACAAGGCTAGTGTGGTGTACAAGGCTAGTGTGGTGTATAAGGCTTGTGTGATGTACTAGGCTAATGCAGTGTACAAGGCTAGTGTGGTGAACAAGGCTAGTGTGGTGTACAAGGCTAGTGTGAGGTACAAGGCTAGTGCAGTGTACAAGGCTAGTGCGGTGTACAAGGCTAGTGTGGTGTACAAGGCTAGTGTGGTGTATAAGGCTTGTGTGATGTACAAGGCAAGTGCAGTGTAAAAGGCTAGTGCAGTGTACAAGGCTCGTGCAGTGTACAAGGCTAGTGTGGTGTACAAGGCTAGTGTGGTGTACAAGGCTAGTGTGATGTACAAGGCTAGTGCAGTGTACAAGGCTAGTGTGGTGTACAAGGCTAGTGCAGTGTACAAGGCTAGTGCAGTGTACAAGGCTAGTGTGGTGTACAAGGCTAGTGTGGTGTATAAGGCTTGTGTGATGTACAAGGCTAGTGTGGTGTACAAGGCTAGTGCAGTGTACAAGGCTAGTGTGATGTACAAGGCTAATGTGGTGTACAAGGCTAGTGCGATGCAGAAGGCTAGTGTGGTGTACAAGGCTAATGTGGTGTACAAGGCTCGTGCAGTGTACAAGGCTAGTGTGGTGTAAAAGGCTAGTGTGGTGTACAAGGCTAGTGCGATGCAGAAGGCTAGTGTGGTGTACAAGGCTAATGTGGTGTACAAGGCTCGTGCAGTGTACAAGGCTAGTGTGGTGTACAAGGCTAGTGTGGTGTACAAGGCTAGTGTGGTGCACAAGGCTAGTGTGGTGTATAAGGCTTGTGTGATGTACAAGGCTAATGTGGTGTACAAGGCTAGTGTGATGTACAAGGCTAGTGCAGTGTACAAGGCTAGTGTGGTGTACAAGGCTAGTGTGGTGTATAAGGCTTGTGTGATGTACTAGGCTAGTGCAGTGTACAAGGCTAGTGCAGTGTACAAGGCTAGTGTGGTGTACAAGGCTAGTGTGGTGTACAAGGCTAGTGTGGTGCACAAGGCTAGTGTGGTGTATAAGGCTTGTGTGATGTACAAGGCTAATGTGGTGTACAAGGCTAGTGTGATGTACAAGGCTAGTGCAGTGTACAAGGCTAGTGTGGTGTACAAGGCTAGTGTGGTGTATAAGGCTTGTGTGATGTACTATGCTAGTGCAGTGTACAAGGCTAGTGCAGTGTACAAGGCTAGTGCAGTGTACAAGGCTAGTGTGGTGAACAAGGCTAGTGTGGTGTACAAGGCTAGTGTGATGTACAAGGCTAGTGCAGTGTACAAGGCTAGTGTGGTGTACAAGGCTAGTGTGGTGTATAAGGCTTGTGTGATGTACAAGGCTAGTGCAGTGTAAAAGGCTAGTGCAGTGTACAAGGCTAGTGCAGTGTACAAGGCTAGTGTGATGTACAAGGCTAGTGCAGTGTACAAGGCTAGTGTGGTGTACAAGGCTAGTGCAGTGTACAAGGCTAGTGCAGTGTACAAGGCTAGTGTGGTGTACAAGGCTAGTGTGGTGTATAAGTCTTGTGTGATGTACAAGGCTAGTGCGGTGTACAAGGCTAGTGCAGTGTACAAGGCTAATGTGATGTACAAGGCTAATGTGGTGTACAAGGCTAGTGCGATGCAGAAGGCTAGTGTGGTGTACAAGGCTAATGTGGTGTACAAGGCTCGTGCAGTGTACAAGGCTAGTGTGGTGTAAAAGGCTAGTGTGGTGTACAAGGCTAGTGCGATGCAGAAGGCTAGTGTGGTGTACAAGGCTAATGTGGTGTACAAGGCTCGTGCAGTGTACAAGGCTAGTGTGGTGTACAAGGCTAGTGTGGTGTACAAGGCTAGTGTGGTGCACAAGGCTAGTGTGGTGTATAAGGCTTGTGTGATGTACAAGGCTAGTGTGGTGTACAAGGCTAGTGCAGTGTACAAGGCCAGTGTGGTGCACAAGGCTAGTGTGGTGCACAAGGCTAGTGTATTGGCAAAGACTGCTGATTATTCGGAGAGTGGGCAAGAGTTGTCTCCCTTAACCCTGCCTCAGCTACACCCCTGGCTTCTGGTACCTCATCAAGTGGGGCTGGATACAATACGTCGCTGTGCTCTTCATCTTCATCTTCATCTTCGAAAGAGTTAAAGTCTTCATCTTTCAGAATCAGTTTGTTACAACTCATGTTGACCGAGCTTTCAAGGAGAAGAAACTGTTGTGATGCGAGACTGACCGCGACACATTGGACAATGGTGCCTTACCCTGCTACACACAAGTACCACAGTTACTGGAAGAGGCACTGGTACTTAAGAGTTTCAGGCGTTGTAGTAGAAAGAAAAATATGGTTAAAAATGAAATTATCAGATATTATTTAATTAGTAAACACCTGACATATATCATTACTCCTTATCTCAAACGTTTTTTTTTAGCTCACCTGACCTAATCAACGGATCCTATGAACAAGGCTGTGAAGCTGGAACTTTGTATGAATGATCCCAGCTATCTTGTGCTAACAAAAGTCACATAAGACTGAAAACATGGCGGCCTTATTGAAAATGTCATTTTTGTCTATGAATAACGTACATATTTAGGATACGCCAAGTGCAAGCCACAAGGAATGCTCAAGGCCCTATATTATTACCTGGTCATTGGGTGTATGTACATGCAGGAGTCAAGCTGCCAAACATGGTCGCCTAGCTAACTACTTTCCACAACCAGCATCGCTTAACTTTACCTGTTTGTGACCACGTGCCACAGATTTACAGTAATGCAGAATTACACAATAACACTTTTTGGCGTATACTAATCCCTAGCCATGTGTGTGCTAACTGACAAATGCACACAGAATTCCAATCTGACTTCAAACTTGGCCATCATTGTCTTCGTAATTAAGGTGAGCTAAAAAACGTTTTTACTAAATTGTTTTAAAAGTCACATTAAGAAAAATGAATGCTTGAGGACTTGCCCCCACTGTCTCTATGTGTCGAAGCCAAGGGCAGGATAGTTGACAAGGACTGTAGGAGGAGTTTGGCCTCCATGGGTCAGTAGGTAAGACAGCGCTAGAAACTTACACGAGTCCAGTAGTTCTTATAATGATACATATAGCAAAACCCTTGAAAAGGGCAAATTTCTACTAATCCTTAGGATTCATTAACTATTGGGCAGTTTGGCAAGGACTTCTAACACTGTAAAAGAAGGCAGTCAGTCGTCACAGATTGCACAGGTTGTCTTCTTACGTTGCTCGCGTTGAGCTAGCTCGTTAGTACGATCAGTGTTATATTTGTAAATTAATCCGTCCATTCCAGGAAGGGTGTTTTAATGAAGTTCCTTCACGTTTATAATGTTAATAATGTCCTGTGTATATATTGGCTGTAGATATTGTTCCTACTCTTTAACTAAAGACTGTATGTAGAAAACAGTATGATCGTGGAACTCTCCAATTACCTTCATGTATCCAGCATCCAGGTTGATCACGAGGTACACACACATTCAAGCTCAGCGATTCCTGTGAGCTAACAATACATGGTGACATGCAAGAAGCGGAGTGCGTGATATGGAGTAATTGCAATTATTTATTTTGTCCTCGTGGAAAGTGCCACACATGTGAAATCATGGCAAGTATATTCCAGAAGCCAGCTCGGAGGGCGTTGTTGTAAATACTAGATGGATGTTCTAGAGTCGGTGATATGTAAATATTCCTATACATAATAAAACTTTTATAACAAAATGAAATCATTTCCTCTGTTATTGATGATAAGCCGGAAATGCTAGGATAATGCTTTTCTGGCTTTGTTTGATAAATATGAATAGGGCTGTGGAAATAGCACATATCAAAATAACTCATAAAATACTTTATCTAGCCTAACTGACACTGATAAACCTAAAAATGTACTTTTAAAGGTAAAATGATGATAAACATAAAATATTTGTGTTGTCATGCATGTATGAAACGGCCTATAACCTGAGGTAATCACCTAACACCTGTCCCGAGGTGATGACCTCACACCGTCCCGTGCATTCTCCCAGGTACAAATGTCACCGAGTTGGGATGGTCTCAAAGTATTGCTGTTATTGTAGTTATTCTAGATATGAGTTGACAGGGTAGCAATTAAGAAATGTACTGCATTATATTTACTTGGGAAAATGATGGAATAGTTAAAAGCTATGAAACGGGATGAGGTTGTTTTTTTTCAGTCAAGAAGTCTTTGTTGTTCTACAGATGATTTCTTCAACCAGCATCTGACTCAGCTTAATCTGTATTATCACCCAAAGGTATGATAACTGATGCCACAAGGCCAATGTTGGCGGTGTTGACATTATATTTGAAGAACGTGATCTTCGGCCTTTTACCATACCTCGGGTGTGATCCCGGTTCAAGTTCCCCTTGACATGTGTGAGTCTGAATGGTTTCTTGTCTTTCCACGAACCCTTACAGTTAGCCCAGATAAGATCAATAGGGTTGAGCTCACAATGTCTGACTGGCATATGTAAGACAACGTGACCATATTGTACCGCCAGGACATGTGTCTTGTACTTTCTTTCATATTTAGGCGAATTATCTCTGAGTTGAACTTCCGTTCAGATGGTCTGAAGTCGACACTGCATGACGTCAGGTATTCCTGTATGGTCTCCTTCAGACTACTTATGGTTGGCGTGACAGTATCTGGTTCCCAGACACTATGACAACTGGCGTTATCCAAGACAATGACCCTGGGGTTGTTTAGATTGGAATTAGGCTATGATGATAAACACCAGGTTTTTTTTGGCCTTGAAAATTAGCTCACATCCATCAATAAGCCCCCATATCACTGTTCACGATTACGATGGACACAGCGACTAGGTACCTTTGCCTGATGGGACTTGTCCATCTGGTGGTAGCCACATGTAGTCAGTTGAATGATTTCTATTCACCCAGGGAAAGTAGGAGTATGATCCCCAGCATTGGGGTTGGACAATCAAGCAATCGCCATATGTTGAGAAACTACCAGAAAGACAAGACATACATATGATATATTCATTGTGTTTATTGGGTGAAAATATGACATAATGAAGGCATTTACACTTTGTACAAGCTCCTACAATATATTTACAGTCAACTTGATTGTGCTGAACTGTCGCCTGAACACTTCAACCTACTTACACACGGGATGTCACGGTACACCCAGCAACATTCCACATTGTCCAGTTTGTGCGTAAAAGGCTATATGTTCCACGTAGCCTGGCCGACACAAGGTCAACCCGTGAAGGTCACGCTATCAACAGTTTATGGTCAACATGATATACTTGCAAGACAACCTGATATACTATGTTTTGTGTTCCTGCAACTCAACAGTCTAGAAGATTTCCGGCTGTGTTACTGCAAATAGGTAGACATAGGTTTTCTAAATGGATACAGAATTAAACATAAACCAATACATGGGTGGGTGTATGGATGGATGGAGACTCCTGACACCCACAGTCACTACACCTCTGACTAGGAGATCCACGTTATTCAACAATTGCTGAACTGGGGACAAGACTCGGGCATAAATTCTTGCAAACTTTTAATCCGTTTTCATAACATAACACAGTAATTAAGTATAAATTGTTATGATGAGTCAAAAAAGACTATATAAGGCAGGAGTCATCTTCAGCTGCAGCCATTGTTACCAACTGATGCAACATTGTCTTGGAAAATCTTCATCAAAATTATGAGGCTCTTCTGACCACCTCCCCCAGTCCCTGAACTATGCAGGTCTTTCCACTCAGTACAAACTACTGACTATACCATCACCAATTTAGCCTTATTAACCATCTAGTTGATCAGTCATGCTAGCTGCATGTGCTAAATAATACAGATAAATTAAACCATATCTCAGTCAAGGTTAAGATAAAATCCTGAGCCCAAGACATAATAAATATATATATATACATGTGTCTGTCCACTGTGACTTGATGCAGATGTAAGCCCTGGACACAGACGAGGATCAGGTAGTCCACCACCCTACAGCACCTAGCTAGCCTCCAGTACAGGTAGATGTACCTTACAGCACCTAGCTAGCCTCCAATACAGGTAGATGTACCCTGCAGTAACTAGCTAGCCTCCAATACAGGTAGTAGTACCCTGCAGTACCTAGCTAGCCTCCATTACAGGTAGTCCACCACCCTACAGCACCTAGCTAGCCTCCAGTACAGGAAGATGTACCCTGCAGTAACTAGCTAGCCTCCAATACAGGTAGATGTACCCTGCACTTACTAGCTAGCATCCAATACAGGAAGATGTACCCTGCAGTAACTAGCTAGCCTCCAATACAGGTAGATGTACCCTGCAGTAACTAGCTAGCATCCAATACAGGTAGATGTACCCTGCAGTAACTAGCTAGCATCCAATACAGGTAGATGTACCCTGCAGTAACTAGCTAGCCTCCAATACAGGTAGATGTACCCTGCAGTACCTAGCTAGCCTCCAATACAGGTAGATGTACCCTGCAGTAACTAGCTAGCCTCTGATACAGGTAGATGTACCCTGCAGTAACTAGCTAGCCTCCAATACAGGTAGATGTATCCTGCAGTAACTAGCTAGCCTCCAGTACAGGTAGATGTACCTTACAGCACCTAGCTAGCCTCCAATACAGGTAGATGTACCCTGCAGTAACTAGCTAGCCTCCAATACAGGTAGTAGTACCCTGCAGTAGCTAGCTAGCCTCCATTACAGGTAGTCCACCACCCTACAGCACCTAGCTAGCCTCCAGTACAGGAAGATGTACCCTGCAGTAACTAGCTAGCCTCCAATACAGGTAGATGTACCCTGCACTTACTAGCTAGCATCCAATACAGGAAGATGTACCCTGCAGTAACTAGCTAGCCTCCAATACAGGTAGATGTACCCTGCAGTAACTAGCTAGCATCCAATACAGGTAGATGTACCCTGCAGTAACTAGCTAGCATCCAATACAGGTAGATGTACCCTGCAGTAACTAGCTAGCCTCCAATACAGGTAGATGTACCCTACAGCACCTAGCTAGCCTCCAATACAGGTAGATGTACCCTGCAGAAACTAGCTAGCCTCCAATACAGGTAGATGTACCCTGCAGTAATTAGCTAGCATCCAATACAGGTAGATGTACCCTGCAGTAACTAGCTAGCCTCCAATACAGGTAGATGTACCCTGCAGTAACTAGCTAGCCTCCAATACAGGTAGATGTACCCTGCAGTAACTAGCTAGCCTCCAATACAGGTAGATGTACCCTGCACTTACTAGCTAGCCTCCAATACAGGTAGATGTACCCTGCAGTAACTAGCTAGCTTCCAATACAGGTAGATGTACCCTGCAGCACCTAGCTAGCCTCCAATACAGGTAGATGTACCCTGCAGTACCTAGCTAGCCTCCAATACAGGTAGATGTACCCTGCAGTACCTAGCTAGCCTCCAATACAGGTAGATGTACCCTGCAGTAACTAGCTAGCCTCCAATACAGGTAGATGTACCCTGCAGTACCTAGCTAGCCTCCAATACAGGTAGATGTACCCTGCAGTAACTAGCTAGCCTCCAATACAGGTAGATGTACCCTGCAGTAACTAGCTAGCCTCCAATACAGGTAGATTTACCCTGCAGTAACTAGCTAGCCTCCAATACAGGTAGATGTACCCTGCAGTACCTAGCTAGCCTCCAATACAGGTAGATGTACCCTGCAGTAACTAGCTAGCCTCTGATACAGGTAGATGTACCCTGCAGTAACTAGCTAGCCTCCAATACAGGTAGATGTATCCTGCAGTAACTAGCTAGCCTCCAATACAGGTAGATGTACCCTGCAGTAACTAGCTAGCCTCCAATACAGGTAGATGTACCCTGCAGTAACTAGCTAGCCTCTGATACAGGTAGATGTACCCTGCAGTAACTAGCTAGCCTCCAATACAGGTAGATGTATCCTGCAGTAACTAGCTAACCTCCAATACAGGTAGATGTACCCTGCAGTTACTAGCTAGCCTCCAATACAGGTAGATGTACCCTGCAGTAACTAGCTAGCCTCTGATACAGATAGATATACAGGAAATATACTCATACCAACAAGTCAGTAACTATAGAGAGGCTTTGTATTCTACTGTCATCTGCGTGGAGGTCGGAGTGACCTACAGTTCCTGCTGTCTGTTGTGTGCAGCGGAGGTCAGAGTGACCTACAGTTCCTGCTGTCTGTTGTGTGCAGCGGAGGTCGGAGTGACCTACAGTTCCTGCTGTCTGTTGTGTGCAGCGGAGGTCAGAGCGACCTGCTGTTCCAGTGTGTTGGTACAGATCCTCCACACTGAGGGAGAACATGGCTACTACAGACAACAAGTGTCAGAATTAATTTAATTGTGTTAAAGGAATGTCACTGTTTAAATGTCAATACATCTGTCAATTTGACCCCAGATAGGACTACAAACAGGAAGAGCACAATAGACTCAGTGGTTCCGATTCCTGTTGTGTCCTTCACTTTGACACACATTCAATACTTTCAAGGTGTAATGTAGGAGTGTAAAGGTACTATCTGTAGTACGTTCACTGAGACTGAAACTATGAGATGTCAACCAGTAGTCCTACTACAGTCACAGAGGAACTACAGAATACGCTTTGTAAACCTGCATCAACTTGTTTAACAGTCGCTTCTCAAATCTCAATCCATGCCACAAAGTACAAAATTAAGGAAAATGTCTAAATGTTTTGTTTCATGACCCCTGTTCCATGACCCAGGAAATGAATTCATCCGGACACTTTTGTTCAGGCCTGCTGAAGACTCCGACTTTGTAAATGTCTTTGCCAGGGACATTAACGACAACAAATGAAATGTGTGACTGTTCAATGCCAAGAATGATAATGAAACTAATTTCTTTGAGAACAGATTACTAAAACCGCGCTGTTCTCATCTTGAATTACCAAAGTGTGTTTTACATAAAGCATGCCCGCACGTCATAGGGTGGGTTCAATCAACAGCATGATATCCATCCGGTGACCGCTAGTAGAGCATCGTCACAACACTGTAAAGCCTAAAGACTGCATCACACAATGAATATTCCCCGATCATATAGCTATTCTGTCTTAGTCTTGACTTGGGTGAGTTTGGGTTGGTCCACATATTCACTGCCGAATGCAAACATGACCGTCAAGGCAATCGCGGAGGCAGCTCCCCAGAAAAAGACATACATCACTTGTTCACTGAAGTGTTCTGTAAACAGAGTAAAGACATACATCACTTGTTCACTGAAGTGTTCTGTAAACAGAGTAAAGACATACATCACTTGTTCACTGAAGTGTTCTGTAAACAGAGTAAACACATACATCACAAGTTGTTTTAATGCCGCAGTTAGCAGTATTCCAGCAATATGATGGCAGTCTGCAAATAATTGAATCTGGAGCACACAATCCAGTGATTGATTGACATCATGATCATTGATCTACGGAATTGAGATACAATGACATGCATCAACCAGGTCAGGGAGTCTGACCACCCGATCTCGTTAATCGCCTCTGACAAGCATAGTTGCCTCTTACGGCAAGCGTGGGTTGCACATACTTGAGTCCCAGTGAACAGTTCGTGCACATTTCACTTTCCACCTGGCCCAGTTGAACCAAAGGACTAGGCATTGATGTTAATCTCGAGGTACATGCAACTCAAACGCTACTGAGTGATAGGTCTGGGGTGTATACTGATGACATCACCTTGGTGGCAATACTTACCATCTGGCAGCAGGATGCTGATCACAAACATCGCCATAGCAACCAGAAATATCACAGGTATCTACAAAAGAAGGAGGAATTAGCCTGGGGTGTAGAACTCGTGAACATCACATCCATCAGCAGTTACAGTCAACAGCAATGTCCTGTACCTACATCACATCCATCAGCAGCTACAGTCAACAGCAATGTCCTACCTACTGCTCTTAACTCTGACTACATCAGCCCCCATCTTGCCTGACTGACAGTACTGCTGTCCACTACTATCTACATCAGCCCCCATCTTGCCTGACTGCCAGTATTGCTGTACACTACCAACTACATCAGCCCCCATCTTGCCTGGCTGCCAGTATTGCTGTCCACTACTAACTACATCAGCCCCCACCTTGCCTGGCTGCCAGTATTGCTGTCCACTACTATCTACATCAGCCCCCATCTTGCTGGCTGCCAGTATTGCTGTACACTACCAACTACATCAGCCCCCATCTTGCCTGACTGCCAGTATTGCTGTCCACCTCTAACTACATCAGACCCCATCTTGCTGGCTGCCAGTATTGCTGTACACTACCAACTACATCAGCCCCCATCTTGCCTGGCTGCCAGTATTGCTGTCCACTACTATCTACATCAGCCCCTATCTTGCCTGACTGCCAGTATTGCTGTCCACTACTATCTACATCAGCCCCTATCTTGCCTGGCTGCCAGTATTGCTGTCCACTACTATCTACATCAGCCCCCATCTTGCCTGGCTGCCAGTATTGCTGTCCACTACTAACTACATCAGCCCCCACCTTGCCTGGCTGCCAGTATTGCTGTCCACTACTATCTACATCAGCCCCTATCTTGCCTGGCTGCCAGTATTGCTGTCCACTACTAACTACATCAGCCCCCATCTTGCCTGACTGCCAGTATTGCTGTCCACTACCAACTACATCAGCCCCCATCTTGCTTGATGCCAGTATTGCTGTCAGCTACATTCCTTATCAGGCACACAGTTTCACCTAATGGTGGCAACATGCCTGGTGTTTGAAGGTGGAACACAATGTTAGTCACAACTTACAGCATAAAACTTCCAGTCCCGCTCCACCGTGAGGGGGGAGGGTGTGGTCAGGCCCTCTGTCTCCTCCACTTGGTAGTTGCCCAGGAACAAATCAATGGCATCCTGCAACACCATCACACCATCATCACATCGATCGTTACTAGAGCACAATCACACACAATACAATTCCAGTACACAAACAAATCATCATCATCATCATCATCATCATCACACCTATACTTGATTGGTCACGTGATTTCCATGTGGAAAATGTTTACGACAGATGAAGTTAATGATTTTTTGTCTTTTTCCACTGCTACCGGCAACCATATTTGATTTCTGATCAAGATGCCTTGAACAACCTTGGTGACTATCTCACCCACCTCACGTTTCAGGCCTTGGATGCATTTGAGAAGAAGATTCCAATTTCATGATCAAAGATGGTGGCTACCTGGTGGCCATATTGAAATTCAAATTTCAAAAAACTAAACTAAGTTGAACCTCACAGTCACAAACATACACACAAAGCTCACAAGTTGATTACGCTGACAGATGGACTGACGAGTACCACGTGAGATCCAAATATTCGGAGTATTTTGGACAAAAATTGTAGAAAATTTGTAGAATTTTCCTATTCGGAATACTGTTATACCGAGGCTGTTGTCCCCCTCAACTGCTCTTATAGCGAAATCTTCCACAGAGATCTCAATTACGTCATGCAGCACGTGCGTAGCCACCTAGCTGCCATGTGACACCCTTCACTCTTGTCTCTTGCGAGAGCAAGTGCTCGGGGGACGGACGGGCGGGCAGCAGCCCAGTGGTAACGTATTACTTATAGAATATTCCGAATAGGAAAATTCTACAAATTACATTAACTAATACGTTACCACTGTTATACCGAGGCTGACTACCACAGTAGGCGGTGGGGAGCACCTACAACCCGAAACCTGACTGCTAGCGTTCCTTCCAACCAGCGGAAGTAACCAACAAGGCGGAAGCACTCGATGCGCATGCTCCCAGCTTGGCGTTACCATATAGGGATACCAAAGCACTGTCAAGCTCATACCGTAAGGCTCAATCGTCATTGCCAAAACGATTGGTGACTCCAAACGGCCCCACTGGATAGGTATTTCATCGCCGCAGCGGATGAGAACACAGTATCCGTGTGAGCTAAATCTTAGATCAGGTTAAACAGTCGAAAAGAGGGAAATTAATTTCATTCGGACCGTATATCCCGAGAACAAGCCTACTTAAGCGTGTGTAATAGGCGCGTGACCTAAATTCAATATTGGAAAGCATGCATTACAAGGTTGCAATACACGACAGACAATTAGGTTAATAATTGTCAAATCCAAATAAAGAAACACACAGAAGGCCGCACTCAGCTGTGGATGAGCGCGCTGGCTTGTGGGACCCCCACTCCCGTACCCACGGCTGTGGGAACGCTGGAGTAGACCCAGATTGACCACCGTGCAAGGTCTGAAGCCTGAGGAGTTCGGAATAGCGCCGGGCACACCCATTAGATGACCGCTTGTGCCGCGATCAGCGGCCCAAGACGGTGCACACCCTCCACGTCTTCATCAGAGACCCGTCTGAGGTAATGATTGGCAAAAACGCCAGTAACAACCCCGCAATATTCTGTGAACAGATATATTGGAGTGTAGGGCAAATGTTGCCGCTAGCTGGTAACCCCCGAGACCGGTACGCCAGATTGATGACAGAACGAAGCCATAACGCAATCGAGTTCCGAGTTATGTCAACCGTGCGATTAGGGTTACACGATATGAACAGACGGTCACGCCCTTGTCTGCATTCATTCGAAGCCTTAAGATAATACTTAAGGGCCCTAACCGGACACAGCGATCTGTCCTCGGTATCAGCAGGAGGTAAGATTTCTTTGAGGGATCTTACAGAGAATTCTCTCTCCGTTTGGCCAAATTTCTGATTCTTAGCGACGAAGCCCATGAGCAAGCCCAGGCGGACCGCTCCTTCGTCACCCCTATTGAATCGTACTTTGGTGACATCGAGTGCGTGTATTTCCGACACTCGTGCCGCTGTGGCAAAGGAGAGAAGAAATGCTATTTTCCAAGTCACATGTCGGAACGAAGCACTACCCAAGGGTTCATACGGAGCCTCCGTAAGTGATTGTAACACTAAGGAGAGCTCCCAGGCCGGTGCCCGAAGGCGGCCCTTTTTAAGATCTTGCTGTTTGAAACCCTTGATAATACCCCGAATCACCGGCTCTTTTGAGAGACTGGTACCCATAGCAACGTCCCGTACCATAGCAACGGACGAGACATAGTTGGCAATGGAACTCCCGGAGAGTTTCCGGGTCCCTCGTAAGTGAGACATGAAACGAGCAATATCCTGCACAGATTCCCCCTATCTGGCGAATGAATGTGATGTTTGCAACACCACTTCGTGAAAATAGCCCAACGTGCATTATGTACACCTTCTGGGTAGAATCACGATGCATACTAACCTATGCCCGAGACGCCCAACGAGAAAAACCTTTACTCCTCAGACGCTCGGTGACAACATCCACGCGTGCAGATTGAACTGCCCTGCGTTTGGATGAAGCTGACGGGTGTGAGGGTGGATCAGCAGATCCGGTCTCACAGGCAGTGGAAGTGGCGACTGCATGGCCTGGGCCAGCAAGTCGGGATACCACAATCTGTTCGGCCACATGGGCGCGATCAGTAACATTCGACAGCGAACTCCTCAGAGCCGGCTTAGAATGAGTGGTATTAACGCCGTCGGCGGGTAAGCATAAGCGTCCATGCCCGTCCAGTCTAACGCGAGAGCATCGTGATCGATGGCCCTCGGGTCCGGGACTGGTGATACAAACAACGGGAGTTGATTGTTGAACCTGGTTGCCATCGGACGACCCAAACGTTCGCACAGCCACTGAAACACCACTGGGTTTAGCATCCACTCCATGGGGCTCGGATCCCGAGGCCTCGATAGAGCGTCGGCCAGTACGTTCCGCACACCTGGGATGTGACGGGCGCGTACCTGGCACGGGACACGGTCCACCAGAGCGTAAAACTTGAACGCGAGATCGAGTAGCGAGTGACTGTGGGTTCCCCCCAGTTTGTTCACATAGGACACTACCGTCGTGTTGTCGGTCGCCAGCATGAGCCGGGCGTCGACGAGACGATGCTTCCAGTGATTGACTGCGTTTATCACTGCCTTGAACTCGAGGCAATTGATGTGAAAACCTTGTTCGTCTACGCACCACAGCCCCGAGCTCCCCTCCCCCTCTAGATGGGCGCCCCAGCCCACTAGAGAGGCGTCTGTATACAGGTTCAACGTGGCGCGGAAGGGCCGCATAGAGACACCTGATAAGACGTTGCAAGGGACCGTCCACCACTCCAGATGCGGTCGGAGCCGATCCGGGAGGGCGACGGTCGCACTGTTCTCCTCCTGTGCTAACAACTGGATTAGAAACCGTTGCAGCGGGCGGAGTTGGAGACAACCCCGAAAGGGCGGCAGGTTGCCCTTACCGGGGCCCTCAGAGCGGGACCTCTTCCCGGAGGAAGAAGACACCGACCCCTTGGACTTCCCGGCCACAGCATCCTGAGGGGCGCTCCGTTTAGGGGCACCACCCAGGCGTCTGTGCAGAGACCCAACCAGATCCAACGTATGCTGCGAAGCCGTGGCAGACGAAGCAGACTGCTGTTCTTTTAGAACACCAGGGATCCGATTGGCGGATTGGCGGGTTGGCGGAGTCCAACCCAGAAGAGGCAAGGTACGCTTGCCTCCTCAAAAAATGGCATGTGCCGGAAAGAAAGGCCGAAGCCCCGGCAACGTACTCAAGGGTTGCATTCAAACCGATCAAACAGTTGTAAATGCGCTGGTCTCGGTCCGTGGGGGAACCTCCGACCAGACTGGCCGCCGCCGCCAAGTAGGTGTCGCCATGTGACATAGCGAGCATGGAGTGCTGAGAGAGGTTGTCCATCTGCTGTAAAGTCGCTTGAGTGACTGTAGCAGCATGGGGGGCACGGACACCCAACCTCTCCACATGGGCCTCCGCGGTGGGACTTGATTCCGGGAAGGCCAAGTCATGCACCGGGAACGAACCCTTTCTCCACGATGGAGGAGGTAGCGGGAGTCCCCGACCGGAGGCCGCCGCGAAGGCTTTCTCCAGAGACGGCTTGATCGGCGAACTCGTCGAAAACCTCGGAGGAACCCACCGAGCCGTGGATTCCCCAGGGGTTCCGGCTGGGGCCGTGGCATGTCCTCAAAGAGGTCATACACCATGGCCACGCGGTCCTTAGTCGATAACGGGAGTATCGGCTCAGGGGAAGGACCGGTGACTACGGTAGCCGCCGCCGTACCCGTAGACCCCGCGTCCGAACCCGCACCGCCACCAAAGGGGCCGGGGACGGAACAACCAGGGCCTTATCCTGAGATAAGGCCGCCAGTTTGGAGTCCACCAATTGCGACAACAAAGCCGCGACGGAATCCCCGGACAGCCCAAGGGCCGCCAAGGGATCCGCCGCCTAGGAGGTAGTGCCCGCAATGGGCGCCCGACCGGATGAACCGGCCACCTCAGGGGTGATAGCAGAACGCACGTAGCGCCTGTATCGCGCAAAATCCTCAGGCCCCAGACCCTCGCACAGGGTGCACCGGGTGTCCTCGCAAGGGACCCGGCACCGCGGGCATCGATCGTGGGGATCCCGGGACGACAAAAACTTCTTACAAGCGCCGCAGCGCCTGGCAGCAGGAGTAGTCAGGGTGCTGGACAAATCCAATTCCATGTCAGACATTGTTCTTTGAACAAAAAGCAAAACATGGTTACAACACACACACCAAACATATTCACAAACGTAGATTTTCCGAAGAAAAACAAACCATAATAGTGAATACATAAAATACATATATTATAGAGATATATATATATATCATAATAGGTGATGCAAAAAAACACCCCACAATATACCACTAAAGATAGACGGAAAATACAAAGTGCCGCCGCCACACCCCCGTTAGTAGCGAAAAAAGGCGCGAAAATTTAGGCGGGAAAATTTTCTAAGCGCCGTATAACGAACGCCCCCGTATATTACAGTTTACTTAGGACGAAGAAACAGTAATAAATATCACCAAGGATAGCAGGAGGCTGGTAGAACACAGAGCAGTCTATGGATACGTCTTGCAAAGGCAAGCGAAGAGACAAGAGTGAAGGGTGTCACATGGCAGCTAGGTGGCTACGCACGTGCTGCATGAGGTAATTGAGATCTCTGTGGAAGATTTCGCTATAAGAGCAGTTGTGGGGGACAACAGCCTCGGTATAACAGTGGTAACGTATTACTTAATGTAATTATGCATGAACTGTGCTTCTTGTGAAAGCCTGTATGATGAGTCCTACTTCAGATCTCACCTGTCGGAAACCGTCCTGGAAGTTGTTGCGGAAGTACCTGATGAGGGAGTTCCAGCCATCCATCATCAGCCCCATCTTGGTCCTCCTCCCTGTCCTAGCAGCAGAAACACAAGCATCAGGTGACAACACCATACACGGTATTCTATTAACAGTCATTGTTTTTTCGTCAGTTAACAGAAAGTTAACAAAGTGTTAAGCATGTTGCCTGAGTTCAACAAGCCTTGTTCCTAACTCTAGTGCTTCTTCTTACCTTGTGAAGTCTGTCTTCAAGGCACCAGTTCCGGCATACTGCTTGGAGAGAGTGTCTGCATTGTCGGCCCACACTGCAACAAGGGAGAAAACTACGTCAGGATGTTATCATCACCTTCTACTCTTGCTGGCTTCAGTCCCATTGGGTAACTGCTTTTGGACATCAGAAATATTTTGTAGCAATGTTGTGTTCCACCTCAATACAATCATCAGAGGCTTGTTATGCAACGTCCTAGTAACAGATCACCTACCATTCTTGAAGACTGTGTCGAACTGACACTTCTCCGGGACCCGTGCTCCCTGTGCAAGGACTCCCAGTCTCTGAAACCAAACACGGACAGATTCTACACAGATTCTAATGCTTTCCTTTGTAGAATGACAGGCACGTTCACTTTTAATGTCTAACAGGGACCCACCACAAGCACAGTGTTAACCAGCTGCAAGTAGTGTCAACCAGCTGCAAGCACAGTGTCCCCTAGCTGCAAGTAGTGTCAACCAGCTGCAAGTACAGAGTCACCTAGCTGCAAGCAGTGTCTACTAGCTGCAAGAACAGTGTCCCCTAGCTGCAAGCAGTGTCAACAGGCTGCAAGCAGTGTCAACCAGTTGTAAACAGTGTTAACCAGCTGCAAGTAGTGTCAACCAGCTGCAAGCACAGTGTCCCCTAGCTGCAAGCAGTGCCAACAGGCTGCAAGCAGTGTCAACCAGTTATAAGCAGTGTTAACCAGCTGTAGGCAGTGTCAACCAGCTGTAAGCAGTGTCAACCAGCTGTAGGCAGTGTCAACCAGTTGCAAGCAGTGTCAACCAGCTGCAAGCAGTGTCCCCTAGCTGCAAGCAGTGTCAACCAGCTGCAAGCACAGTGTCCCCTAGCTGCAAGCAGTGTCAACCAGCTGCAAGCAGTTTTAACCAGTTTCAAGCAGTGTCAACCAGCTGCAAGCAGTTTCAACCAGTTGCAAGCAGTGTTAACCAGCTGCAAGCAGTGTCAACAGGCTGCAAGCATGGCATCAACCAGCTGCAAGCACAGTGTCCCCTAGCTGCAAGCAGTTTCAACCAGTTGCAAGCAGTGTCAACCAGCTGCAAGCAGTTTCAACCAGTTGCAAGCAGTGTTAACCAGCTGCAAGCAGTGTCAACAGGCTGCAAGCATGGCGTCAACCAGCTGCAAGCACAGTGTCCCCTAGCTGCAAGCAGTGTCAACCAGCTGCAAGCACAGTGTCCCCTAGCTGCAAGCAGTGTCAACCAGCTGCAAGCACAGTGTCCCCTAGCTGCAAGCAGTGTCAACCAGCTGCAAGCACAGTGTCCCCTAGCTGCAAGCAGTGTCAACCAGCTGCAAGCAGGGTCCCCTAGCTGCAAGCAGTTTCAACCAGTTGCAAGCAGTGTTAACCAGCTGCAAGCAGTGTCAACAGGCTGCAAGCATGGCGTCAACCAACTGCAAGCACAGTGTCCCCTAGCTGCAAGCAGTGTCAACCAGCTGCAAGCACAGTGTCCCCTAGCTGCAAGCAGTTTCAACCAGTTGCAAGCAGTGTTAACCAGCTGCAAGCAGTGTCAACAGGCTGCAAGCATGGCGTCAACCAACTGCAAGCACAGTGTCCCCTAGCTGCAAGCAGTGTCAACCAGCTGCAAGCACAGGGTCCCCTAGCTGCAAGCAGTTTCAACCAGTTGCAAGCAGTGTTAACCAGCTGCAAGCAGTGTCAACAGGCTGCAAGCACGGCGTCAACCAACTGCAAGCACAGTGTCCCCTAGCTGCAAGCACAGTGTCCCCTAGCTGCAAGCAGTGTCAACCAGCTGCAAGCACAGTGTCCCCTAGCTGCAAGCAGTGTCAACCAGCTGCAAGCACAGTGTCCCCTAGCTGCAAGCAGTGTCAATCAGCTGCAGGAATTGGGACCTACCTGGAGCTGGTCAAGTAGGTTATCTTTAGCCAGAAGACTCTGGACAACGTTGGTGCGGTCCAAACAGTCCATGCAGTTGGTTCTGAATACACCCTGTTGTGACGACACCACACTACCGTCCTTCCCATGCATGAAGTACCTGCCACAAGGAAACAGCAAACACCTCACATCTGAGGTTTCAAGAATATCTAAAGAGTGGTACTGAACTATGATAGGAATACTTGAAGTGATAGGTCATCATCTATGATCTTAAACTTCATCATTCGAGAAAAAGTCTGACTGATTGGCTGTACATATTGCGTATCTTAAAAACTTTGAAGGTGTTTTGAATGGTTAAACATTTAGTAAAGTATTTCAGATCAACCTTTTCTCGCCACAATAAATTATTATATCAGGGCACAATGTCGGACACCTACCCAAACTGTCTCCTCTCCTCAGCCAGCTTGTCTGTGAGTATGGACAGGCGGTCCCATCGCATCTTGCTGCACTCCTTGTGGAAGTCAAAAGACTCGTATCTGTATTCAGAGTGAGTGAGTGAGTGAGAGATTTTGGTTTAACACCACTTTGAACAGTATTCCAGTTATTCTCGGTGTGTCAGCTTAATGTGGGAGGAATGCCAAAGTGATGCAGGCCTCAGACGTTTACCACTTTGGTGAAACCCACGAGCACGGGTAGGTTGCTGAAAAACCTAGAAACATAATCGGTGTGAACCGGGTTTCGAACCCACAATCATAGACATGGGCGGATACAGAGGGGGGGTGCGGGGGTGCGCACCACCCCTTTTTATTTCGAAAAAAATCTTTATTTCTGTATAAATTACCACCAAAGACAATAAATAGATCTTAATTGTGCACCCCCCCTTTTCAAAAAAGCTGTATCCGCCCATGATAGAGCTGTATATACCAGGTGACAGAGACGCTATTGGTGAACTTGATTGTCATATTGTATCTGCATGTGTGACAGATGCTGTCGGTATACCTGATGTTAGAGTTCTGGGAGTTGACCACTGTCTGGGCGAAAGCTTGTTCCATCTGAAGCTCATAGCCTTTCTGGTTAACCTGAAAAAAGTCAAAACATGAAGGCCAAAATCTACTTTCCTGGTGCTGGTGATCCCGCCCCAGACTACACCTAGTTCATGTGGATAGAGAGCCATGGGGCCACTGTTCACAGATGATAATTTTTTTAAAAATCCAAAACTACGAAAAGGCTCCAGTTCAGCGCTAGGTGTATCTATGTGCCAACTTTGGTGAAGAAATATTGTACGGTGTTCAAGATTTGCTCCAGAAATGAGCACTACCGCCATTTTCAGCCTAAGTCAGAGTTTGTTCCCATATAAAGTCAAAAAATATTTTTGTTAAAAAACCCAAACTATCAAAAGGCACCAGTTCACCACTAGACCTATCCATGTGCCAAGTTTGGTGAAAAATTATTGTATGTTTTTCACAATCTGCTCAGGAAACAACATCTTGCACAGACAGACGGATGGACAATGTCCATTTTAATACCCCTAGCAAAATGTTAAAGTTTTTTTGTGTGTGTACAAAAACATCCATAAGTGTAGAGCGTTGTATTGGTTACATATGGCCATGTTGTCGATGTGCAGGAATCACTTACGAGATTAATGAGAACTTGTTTCCCATAGTTGTAAATCTGATCGTCAAAGTGCCGCTGGAAGCCATCCATCTAAAACATGACGGAACTGGATCAATATTTGAAAGTCATCATTTGAAATGAACAACAGAGCTCCAGATAACATTTTGAGCAATTGAGTTTTTACTCAGTTTTAATTGGGTTATTACATTTTTCATTGGGTAACAAATATTTTTTCACTCATCTATTCATCACTCTATTGGGATTTTCCCAAAATTAGTGAACATTTTAAGATTTAAAAAAATGAATTAATGATTTAGATGTATTTATAACTGATTGGAATATTTAGGCTAGTAAATTAGCTCGTAATTATGTTTAGGAAATTAGCTCCTTTGTACTAGGCTGAAAAAGCTTCATTGGGTATTTACGTAAGCTGTTTTTATACATTTGAGTTTTTCATTTGAAGAATGCGTTTCTGTATGCAAGTTAATTGAAGTAATTGGGTTTGGAATATTTTGGGGGGTATTTTACGCAAATACGCTGCTTATCTGTAGCTTTATAACAAGTTCAAGAAACATGCCTATTTGACACAGTTTGTGTTGAAAACTCGCAAACAGACTTCCCAACTGTGGCTCAGCGTGTCTATCCCTATGTAGCAACCATTGTGACCAACAAATCCCCACAGGGTTAAGGCTTCACCCGACAAATGTAGCTTCAGACCTGAAAATCAATTTTCTTGTAAATATCAAACAATAGTTATCATTACGTGTAATTCTCAGAATACTAGCCCTGTTACATCACAGACATAAACTCCTGTTGTGGGTGGGAGGGGCAATGAGATTTGTCCACTGAAGGAGAAACAGCATCCCTGGCATCCACCTCTTGACGCCTCAGTGTCTGTCGCCGAAAACCCAATCCATGGAGACACCCTGCCTTCGTAGGAGATGATGCAATATTTTAATAGACGATCTCAGTCCCAGACATGGCGAACTTGTCCAACTTTTCAACTTTTGAGACTTTTGAGACCGCAGGAAGTGGACCTTGTCTTGTTCAGGCTTGAGACATGTTATTTGGTGGGGCACGTAGACGTTATTTGGTGGGGCACGTAGACATGTTATTTGATTGGGCACACATACATGTTATTTTTGTTGCACTTTTAACATCAAGGATGTGTGGCACCAACTACTGTTTATGTTCTTAACACTCCCTCGATCTACCAGTGTCAGCAAGGAAGATTGTCTGGACCTAGTTTTTTTTTTTTTTTTTTTGTTTAATGCCGCACTCAGCAATATTCCAGCTATAGGACGGCAGACTGTAAATAAGAGTGTCTGGACCAGACAATTCATTGATTGACATCATGAACCTGGACACAGGCAATTGTGATACGATGACATGCATCAACTAGGTCAGCAAGTCTGACCATCCGATCCCGTTCGTTGCATAGTCACCTCTTACGACAAGCATGGGTTGCTGAAGACCTATTCTACCCTGGACCTTCACGGGGGACAATCATGGGTTGCTGAAGACCTATTCTACCCCGGACCTTATCGGGGGACAAGCATGGGTTGCTGAAGACCTATTCTACCCCGGACCTTATCGGGGGACAAGCATGGGTTGCTGAAGACCTATTCTACCCCGGACCTTATCGGGGGACAAGCACGGGTTACTGAAGACCTATTCTACCCCCGACCTTATCGGGGGACAAGCATGGGTTGCTGAAGACCTATTCTACCCCGGACCTTCACGGGGGACAAGCATGGATTACTGAAGACCTATTCTACCCCAGATCTTCACGGGGGACAAGCATGGGTTGCTGAAGACAAGCATGGGTTACTGAAGACCTATTCTACCCTGGACCTTCACGGGGGACAAGCGTGGGTTGCTGAAGACCTATTCTACCCCAGATCTTCACGGGGGACAAGCATGGGTTGCTGAAGACCTATTCTACCCCAGATCTTCACGGGGGACAAGCATGGGTTGCTGAAGACAAGCATGGGTTGCTGAAGACCTATTCTACCCTGGACCTTCACGGGGGACAAGCATGGGTTGCTGAAGACCTATTCTACCCAGATCTTCATGGGGGACAAGCATGGGTTGCTGAAGACATATTCTACCCCAGATCTTCAAGGGGGACAAGCATGGGTTGCTGAAGACCTATTCTACCCCAGATCTTCACGGGGGACAGGCATGGGTTGCTGAAGACCTATTCTAACCTGGACCTTCACGGATCAGTCTGTATCTTTATGTTTACAAGATCTTGACTTTACAGCAAGAACACGTAACTTGTGCTGAGTAGTGATCAACTGTTTTACTGATGACACCAGCACACATAGGAAAAACAAATTAGATGAGTTGGCAGTGAGTGAGTGAGTGAGTGAGTGAGTGAGTGAGTGAGTGAGTGAGTATGGTTTTTACGCCGCTTTTAGCAATATTCCAGCAATATCATGGTGGGGAACACCAGAAATGGGCTTCACACATTGTACCCCTGTCGGGTCTTCGGCGTGACAAGCGAACGCTTTAACCACTAGGCTACCCAACCGCCCCGGCAGTGAAGAGACATCTGTTGAAAATCTAAAAGATTTTATAGTGTGATGAAAGCCCAAACAGGAAATTATGGCTATGATGTAACAGAGGTCAGGTATTCACAGGAAGGACGGCCTTACATGATTAGTGGCACTGTTGATGACTGGCAGGGGCATCCGCTTCAGGTTGGGTTTCTGGCTCCAGAACAGGGGGATGGAGCCACGCGTCTAAACACAGGAAAAACACAGAGTCATAACACAAGCCTATTAACACATAGCTTATTGAACGCCATGTCTACTACAGTAACATCACTCTGAGCATCTAGTAGTGTAAACACTGGGACAGATGTGTTTCAAAGATGCTACCTGCCAAACACCAAATAAACAAATAACGGAACGATGCCACATATTGGAAATAAATGTGTACTGCCAAAAGTAGCTCCACAATTAAGAACACTAACAAGAAATAGCTCCACAATCATGAACACTAACAAGAAATAATTCCACAAATATGAGAAATAACCAACACTTTAGCTACAACTTATTTATACCAAAACTGCTTGCACGTTATCCGAGTAATGCCCTGCCGAAAACTGTCAACCAAGCTGCTGTGTAATGTTATGGCTAATTTGCATACATATCAGAGTTTCAGACGGCTGTCGGTCACCGGTCATAGAACGATAACATACGTATCAGAGTTTCAGATGGCAGTTTGTCACCGGTCATAGAACGATAACAAACGTATCAGAGTTTCAGATGGCAGTTTGTCACCGGTCATAGAACGATAACATACGTATCAGAGTTTCAGATGGCAGTTTGACACCGGTCATAGAACGATAACAAACGTATCAGAGTTTCAGATGGCAGTTTGTCACCGGTCATAGAACGATAACATACGTATCAGAGTTTCAGATGGCAGTTTGTCACCGGTCATAGAACGATAACAAACGTATCAGAGTTTCAGATGGCAGTTTGTCACCGGTCATAGAACGATAACAAACGTATCAGAGTTTCAGACGGCTGTCGGTCACCGGTCATAGAACGATAACAAACGTATCAGAGTTTCAGATGGCAGTTTGTCACCGGTCATAGAACGATAACAAACGTATCAGAGTTTCAGATGGCAGTTCGTCACCGGTCATAGAACGATAACATACGTATCAGAGTTTCAGATGGCAGTTTGTCACCAGTCATAGAACGATAACAAACATATCAGAGTTTCAGACGGCTGTCGGTCACCGGTCATAGAACGATAACATACGTATCAGAGTTTCAGATGGCAGTTTGTCACCGGTCATAGAACGATAACATACGTATCAGAGTTTCAGATGGCAGTTTGTCACCGGTCATAGAACGATAACATACGTATCAGAGTTTCAGATGGCAGTTTGTCACCGGTCATAGAATGATAACATACGTATCAGAGTTTCAGATGGCAGTTTGTCACCGGTCATAGAACGATAACAAACGTATCAGAGTTTCAGATGGCAGTTTGTCACCGGTCATAGAACGATAACATACGTATCAGAGTTTCAGATGGCAGTTTGTCACCGGTCATAGAACGATAACAAACGTATCAGAGTTTCAGATGGCAGTTTGTCACCGGTCATAGAACGATAACATACGTATCAGAGTTTCAGATGGCAGTTTGTCACCGGTCATAGAACGATAACAAACGTATCAGAGTTTCAGATGGCAGTTTGTCACCGGTCATAGAACGATAACAAACATATCAGAGTTTCAGATGGCAGTTTGTCACCTGTCATAGACCGATAACAAACGTATCAGAGTTTCAGATGGCAGTTTGTCACCAGTCATAGACCGATAACACACGTATCAGAGTTTCAGACAGCTGTTGGTCACCGGTCATAGACCGATAACACACGTATCAGAGTTTCAGACAGCTGTTGGTCACCGGTCATAGAACGATAACAAACGTATCAGAGTTTCAGATGGCAGCTTGTCACCGGTCATAGACAGATAACATACGTATCAGAGTTTCAGATGGCAGCTTGTCACCAGTCATAGACAGATAACATACGTATCAGAGTTTCAGTTGGCTGTTGGTCACCGGTTATAGACAGATAACACACGTATCAGAGTTTCAGATGGCAGCTTGTCACCAGTCATAGACCGATATCATACGCATCAGAGTTTCAGATGGCAGCTTGTCACCAGTCATAGACCGATAACATACGTATCAGAGTTTCAGATGGCAGCTTGTCACCAGCCATAGACCGATAACATACGTATCAGAGTTTCAGATGGCAGCTTGTCACCAGTCATAGACCGATAACATACGTATCAGAGTTTCAGATGGCAGCTTGTCACCGGTCATAGACAGATAACATACGTATCAGAGTTTCAGATGGCAGCTTGTCACCAGTCATAGACAGATAACATACGTATCAGAGTTTCAGTTGGCTGTTGGTCACCGGTTATAGACAGATAACACACGTATCAGAGTTTCAGATGGCAGCTTGTCACCAGTCATAGACCGATATCATACGCATCAGAGTTTCAGATGGCAGCTTGTCACCAGTCATAGACCGATAACATACGTATCAGAGTTTCAGATGGCAGCTTGTCACCAGCCATAGACCGATAACATACGTATCAGAGTTTCAGATGGCAGCTTGTCACCAGCCATAGACCGATAACATTTCATTTGACAGATGGTTTGTTTAACTAGTCGAACTTTTGACCAATAGAAATGCTAAGCAAGGTGTCATATGTGTCATATGTGTCATATTTCATAAACAAGTAAATAGTTAGGATTAGTCCTACATACCATATTGATTTAATAGAACATTACACAGCCATCAAAATTTGTAATAAAAATAAAAAAAGTGTGTGTCTTTGCATCATACTTTCTGCATCATTGGGAAACACTGTCAAGGGTGATATAGTTAAAAGTCAAGCACTTTTCTTATCTATCTCAAAGTTCAATGGCCAGGACGTATGTATTCATCCAATCACAAACGGTATTGCATTGATTTGTTGTGTCACACTGACCTCTGTTGTGTCACACTGACCTCTGTTGTATTCTTCGTGTGATCAACAACAAGCCTAGCTGTCAGGTTTTTTTAGTTGTTTTTGAGAATTGTTTTGAACAAATTCTATCCATTTTAACTATAATCACTTGAACTCTATTTTTCACTCCATTATCATGATGTCCCCGGTCTGTCCCACTGTTAATGGAACACCTCTGGATTCAGCATATGATCATGCCATGCATAAAAAACAGAGTAACCGTTACAGTAGCCTTATGAACATGAACACCTACCTGTACAAACATGAACACACATCTGTACAAACATGAACACATACCTGTACAAACATGAACACACACCTGTACAAACATGAACACACACCTGTACAAACATGAACACCTACCTGTACAAACATGAACACACACCTGTACAAACATGAACACACACCTGTACAAACATGAACACCTGCCTGTACAAACATGAACACACACCTGTACAAACCTGAACACATACCTGTACAAACATGAACACACACCTGTACAAACATGAACACACACCTGTACAAACATGAACACATACCTGTACAAACATGAACACATACCTGTACAAACATGAACACACACCTGTACAAACATGAACACATACCTGTACAAACATGAACACCTACAGGTACAAACATGAACACATACCTGTACAAACATGAACACATACCTGTAAAAACATGAACACACACCTGTACAAACATGAACACCTACCTGTACAAACATGAACACACATCTGTACAAACATGAACACACACCTGTACAAACATGAACACATACTTGCACAAACATGAACACACACCTGTACAAACATGAACACACACCTGTACAAACATGAACACACACCTGTACAAACATGAACACACACCTGTACAAACATGAACACCTACTTGTACAAACATGAACACACACCTGTACAAACATGAACACACACCTGTACAAACATGAACACACACCTGTACAAACATGAACACACACCTGTACAAAAGAGCATCTGATGCCATCACATTGCACAATTTGTTCAGTTTCTACGAAGTTGGCGACCTGGCCCTCAGTGTCTACTCCACGGACGTAGAATCGGGTCCCAGCTCGATATATACACCTTCGGGAGATGACGATGTAGTCAAAGCTCTTGTTGTTGATGCTGGTGGAGTTGATGCTGAGGACTGGCACGTTGAGGAAAATGTGAAATGCATTGTTGCGGGCTAGTTGTAGTGCACTGTGTATTGATGAGGGCTAGTTGTAGTGTACTGTGTATTTATGAGGACTAGTTGTAGTGTAGTGTGTATTGAGGACTAGTTGTAGTGTACTGTGTATTGATGAGGGCTAGCTGTAGTGTACTGTGTATTAATGAGGGCTAGTTGTAAGGTACTGTGTATTGATGAGGGCTAGCTGTAAGATACAGTGTATTGATGAGGGCTAGTTGTAGTGTACTGTGTATTGATGAGGGCTAGCTGTAGTGTACTGTGTATTGATGAGGGCTAGTTGTAAGGTACTGTGTATTGATTAGGGCTTGTTGTAAGGTACAGTGTATTGATGAGGGCTAGCTGTAGTGTACTGTGTATTGATGAGGGCTAGTTGTAAGGTACTGTGTATTGATGAGGGCTAGTTGTAAGGTACTGTGTATTGATGAGGGCTAGTTGTAGTGTACTGTGTATTGATGAGGGCTAGCTGTAGTGTACTGTGTATTGATGAGGGCTAGTTGTAAGGTACTGTGTATTGATGAGGGCTAGTTGTAGTGTACTGTGTATTGATGAGGGCTGGTTGTAGTGTACTGAGTTTTCAGGGCTAGTTGTTGCGTACTGTGTATTGATGAGAGCTAGTTGTAGTGTACTGTGTATTGAGGGCTAGTTGTAGTGTACTGTGTATTCAGGGCTCGTTGTAGTGTACTGTGTATTCAGGGCTAGTTGTAGTGTACTGTGTATTGATGAGAGCTAGTTGTAGTGTACTGTGTATTGATGAGAGCTAGTTGTAGTGTACTGTGTATTGAGGGCTAGTTGTAGTGTACTGTGTATTCAGGGCTAGTTGTAGTGTACTGTGTATTGAGGGCTAGTTGTAGTGTACTGTGTATTCAGGGCTAGTTGTAGTGTACTGTGTATTCAGGGCTAGATGTAGTGTACTGTGTATTGAGGGCTAGTTGTAGCATACTGTGTATTGAAAGGATACAGCCATGCACCATGGGAAGGCAGTATTGCCCCAGTTCTGGTTGCTGGGCCAACTCTCTGAGGATGTGACCATTCCACACAAACCTTTGGTCGGCCTGCCAATCAAAATACAACACAAATCTAAACCAGCTGACACTGACTTGTTAAATTACTGGTGTGACAGGGGACCGCCACTTACATAATTTAAAAAAAATTAAAAAATTAGAATTCTAAAATGTCCTTTTTCTCAAAGTAGAAGAATAACCTTTTGTTTATACAAAAAGATGACAGTAGCTGATGCTATTGTAACTCCTGGATATTAACATAGATTTACAACAGCTGGGGAGGAAAAGTTTCTTTGTGCAGATGGGTCCTTAAGATTTACCTTAGATACATGATCATATACTGGTCACTGAGTGAGTGAGTTGGGTTCATATCACACCGAACTGATGCAGGTTCTCGATGTTTAGCACTTTTGCGAGACACATAGGCATGGTGTCGACAAATCAAGAATCAAAATCAAGACACATCTGGTGTTTAAACTACACAAACATCAGATCCTGGCAGGACGAGGGGACACAACTTTGCACATGAAACATATGTACCCCCTTAAAGGATTAACAGTTGAGCAGGACAGCAGTATTAGACCTAAGGCTATGGGAGTGAATGTGTACAGGACAGCAGTATTAGATCTAAGGCTATGGGAGTGAAGGTGTATAGGACAGCAGTATTAGACCTAAGGCTACAGGAGTGAAGGTGTACAGGACAGCAGTATTAGACTTAAGGCTACAGGAGTGAAGGTGTACAGGACAGCAGTATTAGACTTAAGGCTACAGGAGTGAAGGTGTACAGGACAGCAGTATTAGACTTAAGGCTACAGGAGTGAAGGTGTACAGGACAGCAGTATTAGACCTAAGGCTACAGGAGTGAAGGTGTACAGGACAGCAGTATTAGACTTTAGGCTACAGGAGTGAAAGAGTACAGGACAGCAGTATTAGGCCTAAGGCTATGGGAGTGAGGGTGTACAGGACAGCAGTATTAGACTTTAGGCTTCAGGAGTCAAAGAGTACAGGACAGCAGTATTAGGCCTAAGGCTATGGGAGTGAAGGCACAGGACAGCAGTATTAGACCTAAGGCTATGGGAGTCAAGGAGTGAAGGTGTACAGGACAGCAGTCTTAGACCTAAGGCTACGAGAGTCAAGGAGTGAAGGTGTACAGGACAGCAGTCTAAGACCTAAGGCTACGAGAGTCAAGGAGTGAAGGTGTACAGGACAGCAGTATTAGACTTAAGGCTACAGGAGTGAAGGTGTACAGGACAGCAGTATTAGGCCTAAGGCTACGGGAGTCAAGGATTGAAGGCGTACAGGACCCAAGTATTAGACCTAAGGCTACTCGGAGTCAAGGAGTCAAGGTGTACAAGACAGCAGTCTTAGACCTAAGGCTACGGGAGTGAAGGTGTACAGGACAGCAGTATTAGACCTAAGGCTATGGGAGTCAAGGAGTGAAGGTGTACAGGACAGCAGTCTTAGACCTAAGGCTACAAGAGTCAAGGAGTGAAGGTGTACAGGACAGCAGTCTTAGACCTAAGGCTACGAGAGTCAAGGAGTGAAGGTGTACAAGACAGCAGTATAAGACTTAAGGCTACAGGAGTGAAGGTGTACAGGACAGCAGTCTTAGACCTAAGGCTATGGGAGTCAAGGAGTGAAGGTGTACAGGACAGAAGTATTAGGCCTAAGGCTACGGGAGTGAAGGTGTACAGGACAGCAGTATAAGACTTAAGGCTACAGGAGTGAAGGTGTACAGGACAGCAGTCTTAGACCTAAGGCTACGGGAGTCAAGGAGTGAAGGTGTACAGGACAGAAGTATTAGGCCTAAGGCTACGGGAGTGAAGGTGTACAGGACAGCAGTCTTAGACCTAAGGCTACGGGAGTCAAGGAGTGAAGGTGTACAGGACAAAGTATTAGGCCTAAGGCTACGGGAGTCAAGAAGTGAAGATGTACAGGACAGCAGTATTAGGCCTAAGGCTACGGGAGTCAAGGAGTGAAGGTGTACAGACATCAAGTGTGGGATTACCCTCTCGTGCAGAGCGAGTGATGAGAAGTCGGAGCTGGTGTTCTGGAGGCGCTGGAGTGAGTGTGTCAGGTCGAACGTGTTGGAGAAGTAGAATGCATCGGTCTTCAGGATCAGCTCCACCATGGACAAGTAGCTCCGGTTGTGGGAGGCCTGCACACAGAACATAGCATGACGGCAACAGAGAAATAACATGACAGTCATCAGTTCTTCAAGTCTGTTCTGGACATATAGAAGTTGGTGCTTCACTGAGACATAACACAGGCAACATGGATTTCAACTTCTATATTCTTAATGAGAAGGAGCTGCCTTTGCTCGTTCATCAAGTGGGGTTTCAAGGGACACGGAACATCCTGCACTAAATAAAGTCTCACCAGCTTCAACTATCGACGTTTGCTCATTTCACAAAACGTTACATGATAGACTTCACTGACCTTGAGCTTTTCATGAAGCCAATCAAAGTGGGCCAAGGTAGGTTGAAGACCTTTCATCTAATTCAGATTTCACACAAACTGATTTCTCACAAACCTGAATGGCTAGTCCAGGATTCTCACTGACAGAATCACTTGATTGGATAAATTTTCAGTTTTACTCAGATGACTACATCATATAGCAGTGAAGAAAGACAAGTTCTATGGATGAACAACTTCTTTATTACAATTAGTGCGACGTTTCGGTGTAGATCCTAACACCTTTATCAAGCAAGTGATGGATAGTGCTAAACAACATAGGTATATATACTTATTAACATCAATGTTTATACAGTAAATTGATTGATGGACACAGAGTGCTGATTAAGATGATTGGGAGCCAGTGAATGACTAATGGGACAGGGTAAACAACCATGGAAGCTGATAGGGATGATTGGAAGCCATTGAATTAGAAGCCAGCTTGCGGACTCTGTGTCCATTAGACAATCCACTGGCTATATATACCTATATATACCTATGTTGTTCAGCACTATCCATCACTTGCTTGATAAAGGTGTTAGGATCTACACCGAAACGTCGCACTAATTGTAATTTAGAAGTTGTTCATCCTTAGAACTTGTCTTTCTTCATCACACCAACTTCTAAATGCCACTGAAAGAAATCATATAGCACTGTTTCCATGTTCCATCTGAGCCTGCCAGCTCCTGTCTGACCTGTTGCTCTGTGAGGTGCAGCATGGTTCTCTTGTAGGAGTGAGTCTCTGTGTCGATCAGCCGCCATATCGTGTGTCCATTGATCTCACCCACCTTCTCCCGCTTTGTCATCACAATCAGATACGGACCTGAAACACCGGCCACGTACAATCCAAGTACAACACAATCAGATACGGACCTGAAACACCGGCCACGTACAATCCAAGTACAACACAATCAGATACGGACCTGAAACACCGGCCACGTACAATCCAAGTACAACACAATCAGATACGGACCTGAAACACCGGCCACGTACAATCCAAGTACAACACAATCAGATACGGACCTGAAACACCGGCCACGTACAATCCAAGTACAACACAATCAGATACGGACCTGAAACACCGGCCACGTACAATCCAAGTACAACACAATCAGATACGGACCTGAAACACCGGCCACGTACAATCCAAGTACAACACAATCAGATACGGACCTGAAACACCGGCCACGTACAATCCAAGTACAACACAATCAGATACGGACCTGAAACACCGGCCACGTACAATCCAAGTACAACACAATCAGATACGGACCTGAAACACCGGCCGCGTACAATCCAAGTACAACACAATCAGATACGGACCTGAAACACCGGCCGCGTACAATCCAAGTACAACACAATCTGCAATAGTCCCCCACTACTAAAAACTTTCTCTCACTCCCACACAACAAAACACTTTCTCTCTCAGTCTAACACAAGACACTTTCTCTCTCAGTCTGACACAACTAAACACTTTCCCTCTCAGTCTAACACAACTAAACACTTTCTCTCAGTCCAACACAAGTTTGTTTGTTGTCTAAAGCACATTCAGCAATATCCCAGCTGTAAGATGGCAGTCTGTAAATAATCGACCCTGGACCAGACAATCCAGTGATTGACATCATGAGCATGAATCCATGCAATGAGGATACAATGACATGCATCAACCAAGTCAGCAAACCTGACAACCCAATCCTGTTAGCCGCCTCTGACGACAAGCATAGTCCCCACTTACGACATGTGTGGGTTGCTGAAGACCCATTCTACCCCGGATCTTCATGGGCTTCACTGCTTGAACACAAACCCATCACTGTGCTCAGGGGGATAAGACAATGTAGTACATACAGCAGTACCACACAGCCCAGGGAAGTTACCATGGTTACTGTACAACACAACACAAACCTACCCGCCACAAGTCGGATGATTCCCACAACTCCATAGATGAGTTTGGTGATGGCAGCGGCCGGAATCTGGCCCTGGTTCACTGGAAGACAGAACACACTCCGTGAAACTCTCATACAGACCTGCGTCCAGCGTAACGACCTCTTGCAGACACGGCATGCAGGACAATCAGCAGGTGTTAAACATTGCTAACTTGCAGCAGTAGAAATGGACACTTTTGAGACCATTAGCCCTTATAATGGTAACATATTGCAAAATTCTTGAAAATGGCAAATTTCCATGAGTCCTTATGATGTACCTTAACCATTGGGAAGTTTGGCAAGGACTACAGGACTAGTGCCAACTTCTAATGTTGACCTGCTACAATGAACATATTGGTGCTGACTAAATGTGTGCTGGTTGTGGTGCATATCACACATGTATTACTGAGCATGTGTTGGAACCTGCCAGGCAATCGACTTAAGGAGATAAAACTAGACTGGTCAGCTCTGAATCAGAATTCTGAGTCTGAATGGGGTGCCCATGTAAAACGGGGGCATGGTATCTCAGTTTGTTAGCACTACAGAATGGGCATTATTCCACTCACTCACGCACACATTGGGGCCTCTTCTAACTATCAGGGTGCTGACAAGTCTACCTCCACGTGTGTGACTGGACAAATCTAACTGTACGTGTGTGGCAGGACAAGTCTAACTGTATGTGTGTGGCTGGACAGGTCTAACTGTATGTGTGTGGCTGGACAAGTCTAACTGTATGTGTGTGGCTGGACAAGTCTAACTGTACGTGTGTGGCAGGACAAGTCTAACTGTATGTGTGTGGCTGGACAAGTCTAACTGTATGTGTGTGGCTGGACAAGTCTAACTGTACATGTGTGTGGCTGGACAAGTCTAACTGTATGTGTGTGGCTGGACAAGTCTAACTGTACGTGTGTTGCTGGACAAGTCTAACTGTACGTGTGTGGCTGGACAAGTCTAACTGTATGTGTGTGGCTGGACAAGTCTAACTGTATGTGTGTGGCTGGACAAGTCTAACTGTATGTGTGTTGCTGGACAAGTCTAACTGTATGTGTGTGGCTGGACAAGTCTAACTGTATGTGTGTTGCTGGACAAGTCTAACTGTATGTGTGTGGCTGGACAAGTCTAACTGTATGTGTGTGGCTGGACAAGTCTAACTGTACATGTGTGGCTGGACAAGTCTAACTGTACATGTGTTGCTAGACAAGTCTAACTGTACATGTGTTGCTGGACAAGTCTAACTGTATGTGTGTGGCAGGACAAGTCTAACTGTATGTGTGTGGCAGGACAAGTCTAACTGTACGTGTGTGGCTGGACAAGTCTAACTGTACATGTGTGGCTGGACAAGTCTACCTCCACGTGTGTGACTGGACAAATCTAACTGTACGTGTGTGGCTGGACAAGTCTAACTGTATGTGTGTGGCTGGACAAGTCTAACTGTATGTGTGTGGCTGGACAAGTCTAAATGTACATGTGTGGCTGGACAAGTCTAACTGTACATGTGTGTGGCTGGACAAGTCTAACTGTATGTGTGTGGCTGGACAAGTCTAACTGTATGTGTGTGGCTGGACAAGTCTAAATGTACATGTGTGGCTGGACAAGTCTAAATGTACATGTGTGGCTGGACAAGTCTAACTGTACATGTGGCTGGACAAGTCTAACTGTACGTGTGTGGCTGGACAAGTCTAACTGTACATGTGTGGCTGGACAAGTCTAAATGTACATGTGTGGCTGGACAAGTCTAAATGTACATGTGTGGCTGGACAAGTCTAACTGTACGTGTGTGGCTGGACAAGTCTAAATGTATGTGTGTGGCTGGACAAGTCTAACTGTATGTGTGTGGCTGGACAAGTCTAAATGTACATGTGTGGCTGGACAAGTCTAAATGTACATGTGTGGCTGGACAAGTCTAACTGTACATGTGGCTGGACAAGTCTAACTGTATGTGTGTGGCTGGACAAGTCTAAATGTACATGTGGCTGGACAAGTCTAACTGTATGTGTGTTGCTGGACAAGTCTAACTGTATGTGTGTGGCTGGACAAGTCTAAATGTACATGTGTGGCTGGACAAGTCTAACTGTACATGTGGCTGGACAAGTCTAACTGTACGTGTGTGGCTGGACAAGTCTAACTGTACATGTGTGGCTGGACAAGTCTAAATGTACATGTGTGGCTGGACAAGTCTAACTGTATGTGTGTGGCTGGACAAGTCTAACTGTATGTGTGTGGCTGGACAAGTCTAACTGTACGTGTGTGGCTGGACAAGTCTAACTGTACGTGTGTGGCTGGACAAGTCTAACTGTACGTGTGTGGCTGGACAAGTCTAACTGTATGTGTGTGGCTGGACAAGTCTAAATGTACATGTGTGGCTGGACAAGTCTAACTGTATGTGTGTGGCTGGACAAGTCTAACTGTATGTGTGTGGCTGGACAAGTCTAACTGTACGTGTGTGGCTGGACAAGTCTAACTGTATGTGTGTGGCTGGACAAGTCTGACTGTATGTGTGTGGCTGGACAAGTCTAAATGTACATGTGTGGCTGGACAAGTCTAACTGTACATGTGGCTGGACAAGTCTAACTGTACGTGTGTGGCTGGACAAGTCTAACTGTACATGTGTGGCTGGACAAGTCTAAATGTACATGTGTGGCTGGACAAGTCTAACTGTATGTGTGTGGCTGGACAAGTCTAACTGTATGTGTGTGGCTGGACAAGTCTAACTGTACGTGTGTGGCTGGACAAGTCTAACTGTACGTGTGTGGCTGGACAAGTCTAACTGTACGTGTGTGGCTGGACAAGTCTAACTGTATGTGTGTGGCTGGACAAGTCTAAATGTACATGTGTGGCTGGACAAGTCTAACTGTATGTGTGTGGCTGGACAAGTCTAACTGTATGTGTGTGGCTGGACAAGTCTAACTGTACGTGTGTGGCTGGACAAGTCTAACTGTATGTGTGTGGCTGGACAAGTCTAACTGTACGTGTGTGGCTGGACAAGTCTAACTGTACATGTGGCTGGACAAGTCTAACTGTACGTGTGTGGCTGGACAAGTCTAACTGTACATGTGTGGCTGGACAAGTCTAAATGTACATGTGTGGCTGGACAAGTCTAAATGTACATGTGTGGCTGGACAAGTCTAACTGTACGTGTGTGGCTGGACAAGTCTAAATGTACATGTGTGGCTGGACAAGTCTAACTGTACATGTGGCTGGACAAGTCTAACTGTATGTGTGTGGCTGGACAAGTCTAACTGTACGTGTGTGACTGGACAAGTCTAACTGTACATGTGGCTGGACAAGTCTAACTGTACGTGTGTGGCTGGACAAGTCTAACTGTACATGTGTGGCTGGACAAGTCTAAATGTACATGTGTGGCTGGACAAGTCTAAATGTACATGTGTGGCTGGACAAGTCTAAATGTACATGTGTGGCTGGACAAGTCTAACTGTACATGTGGCTGGACAAGTCTAACTGTATGTGTGTGGCTGGACAAGTCTAAATGTACATGTGTGGCTGGACAAGTCTAAATGTACATGTGTGGCTGGACAAGTCTAACTGTACATGTGGCTGGACAAGTCTAACTGTACGTGTGTGGCTGGACAAGTCTAACTGTACATGTGTGGCTGGACAAGTCTAAATGTACATGTGTGGCTGGACAAGTCTAACTGTACGTGTGTGGGTGGACAAGTCTAACTGTACGTGTGTGGCTGGACAAGTCTAACTGTATGTGTGTGGCTGGACAAGTCTAACTGTATGTGTGTGGCTGGACAAGTCTAAATGTACATGTGTGGCTGGACAAGTCTAACTGTACGTGTGTGGGTGGACAAGTCTAACTGTACGTGTGTGGCTGGACAAGTCTAACTGTACGTGTGTGGCTGGACAAGTCTAACTGTATGTGTGTGGCTGGACAAGTCTAAATGTACATGTGTGGCTGGACAAGTCTAACTGTATGTGTGTGGCTGGACAAGTCTAACTGTATGTGTGTGGCTGGACAAGTCTAACTGTACGTGTGTGGCTGGACAAGTCTAACTGTACGTGTGTGGCTGGACAAGTCTAACTGTACGTGTGTGGCTGGACAAGTCTAACTGTATGTGTGTGGCTGGACAAGTCTAACTGTACGTGTGTGGCTGGACAAGTCTAACTGTACGTGTGTGGCTGGACAAGTCTAACTGTATGTGTGTGGCTGGACAAGTCTAACTGTACATGTGTGGCTGGACAAGTCTAAATGTACATGTGTGGCTGGACAAGTCTAACTGTACGTGTGTGGCAGGACAAGTCTAACTGTACATGTGTGTTGCTGGACAAGTCTAACTGTACGTGTGTGGCTGGACAAGTCTAACTGTATGTGTGTGGCTGGACAAGTCTAACTGTATGTGTGTGGCAGGACAAGTCTAACTGTACATGTGTGGCTGGACAAGTCTAACTGTATGTGTGTGGCTGGACAAGTCTACCTGTACGTGTGTGGCAGGACAAGTCTAACTGTACGTGTGTGGCTGGACAAGTCTAACTGTATGTGTGTGGCTGGACAAGTCTAACTCCACATGTGTGACTGGGCAAGTCTAACTGTATGTGTGTGGCAGGACAAGTCTAACTGTACGTGTGTGGCTGGACAAGTCTAACTGTATGTGTGTGGCTGGACAAGTCTAACTGTACGTGTGTGGCAGGACAAGTCTAACTGTACATGTGTGGCAGGACAAGTCTAACTGTATGTGTGTGGCTGGACAAGTCTAACTGTACATGTGTGGCAGGACAAGTCTAACTGTATGTGTGTGGCAGGACAAGTCTAACTGTACGTGTGTGGCTGGACAAGTCTAACTGTATGTGTGTGGCTGGACAAGTCTAACTGTACGTGTGTGGCAGGACAAGTCTAACTGTACGTGTGTGGCTGGACAAGTCTAACTGTACATGTGGCTGGACAAGTCTAACTGTACATGTGGCTGGACAAGTCTACCTGTACGTGTGTGGCAGGACAAGTCTAACTATACGTGTGTTGCTGGACAAGTCTAACTGTACGTGTGTGGCTGGACAAGTCTAACTGTACGTGTGTGGCTGGACAAGTCTAACTGTATGTGTG